CACGTACGGTACTTGGGTTATTACGGAGCGAGCGAAGCGAGCGTAGTCTTTCCTTAGATTAACGGAAATTTCTGAGTATGAGCGGCCGGCCGGCCGGCCGGCCGGCCGTGGTCACGCTTTTGCGAGGCTTATATCTCAGCAACCACTTGACCGATTTACACGCGGTAATTTTTGTAGGGTAGCTTCATTCCTTCTACCAAGTATTGGACTATTGCCTATGCATGTGGGTGACCCCTTATGCACGTGCCACGTGCAAAACGAAGAGGTGTCACTTTTGTAATTGTTGCAATATCTCGGTAACTACTGGGCCGATTGCGCTGAAAGTTGGCATGTAGGTAGGCACTCACTAGGCAATGCATATCCATGTGCCAGAGTTGGGGTGCTGCTGCACGTGCGCACGTGCAGGGGTCGATTCCAGATCTCGAGAACGGCTGGACCGATGGCGCTCAAATTTGGTACATGGCTAAGGACCGGTTAGTAGGGTGCCGTGCAAAAGTCAGTTGGGACCCATTTTGCACGTGCGCACGTGCAGGGTGCCGCTTCCAGATCTCGAGAACGGCTGGGCCGATTGTGCTCAAATTTGGCACATCGCTAGAGTCCGGTTAGTAGGGTGTCGTGCACAAGTCAGATGGAGGTACCACCTCGAAATTTCGCACGTGCAAGGTTCACCCTCTCGCTCGCTCCGTTATTCGCCCCAAAAGGCGTTATACTGGTTAATATTATATTCATGTTGTATAAGGGATGATTGTTGCACATTTTTGTATTGAAGCTGCTGGCTGCAGCTGCTGAAAGAATGCTACTCGTCTTCTAGAAATAAGTGAATCAGTTTAAACTTGGAAGGGAAGAAACACGAATGAATCATAGTTTTGAGATAATGTCGACTTTCCATCGACGTTTATATAAATATCGGAGGTTTGGATAGGAATCAGCTTTCCATCGTTTCTGTATCAAAACGTTCAATTTTGTTATTGATCCGTTTAACAACGATTCGTTTTGCTCAAAATACCAGTATATCTTATGAATGTGTATTTTTCTAAAAGACTCCTCAGGAATCAAGTCGGGATGTTTCGTTTCACACATAATTCACGGGACATCGCTTCATACCGCCAGCGCCGGGGAGGCACAGTTCACACGGACGGACAGACGAACAAAAGGCATCGCTTAAACCAAGCAGACACCACACAGACACACGAGACACACGGACATTGGACGGACGAATGGGCTGACGAGCGGACCGATGGGATGACGGACGGACGGACGGCTGACGGACGGAGGCGGCCCGGGCGAGCTCAGGGCAGGTGGTCGCCCTCGGCGAAGAAACCGTTCTCGTCGGCCTGCCAGGTGACGGTGTAGGTGACGCCTTCCCACTCGTAGCTGTAGCTGCCCGTCCTCACGTAGTTGCCAGACTCGGGGATGTTACCCGGGTAGGAGATGCCGCTCTCGTCTGAGACGATGCCGTTGGTCGTCTGGTACCTGCAGAAGCGGATAGAATGCGTCGGGACCGAGTTAACCAAATAATCAAACTCTGAGAACAGTCGACAAGAATCCCGTTTTGTTGCAATGCAGCTTTTTATATATAATAAGCATGACATTTAAAACTTGATTAAAACCAACTCGGTCTGGCATTTTGGCATTTTGCTTCTCATCTTAAATTTATAAAGCATCCTCGGACTCATCCTTATGTTACAAATACAAAGCTGAAAGTGAATATGAATCTGAATGCGCAAATCCTCCCCGAGAGTCAAATCGTCCATATAGGTATCGGCAATGGCGCCGTGTACGAATCGAATGCTTACGCGGCATCGTAGGATCCGTCCTCGTTGAGCTGGAACTGATGGTTGGCGATGCGGGCGCTCTTATCGGCACAGGCCGCCGCCACCAGACACACGAGAGCGATCGCCTGAACAGACGGACACACGCTGGTCAGAGACGGACTAAGGTCGGGACCACGACACTGGCAGACGGATCGGCACTCTCATGAACTGGCAAATGGATAAAATATGTCTAGGACGTCCAGCGGCGACAGGACAAGTAGCTGATACGGACGACGACATCTTCAGTGATACCTTATCCATCAGACCTGTTTGTTTATGATGTTTTGGTACTCACATTCGCTAACTTTAGCTGTGATTAGCATACTTTTTCTTTTAGCATTTTTATCAAACATTACATGAAAATAGTTTTAACGACTGTAACGCTTACAGCGACAATTTTCACTTAGAACTCAAGGCTTTAACAATAAACTTTTCCACAATGCACGCTCACCAGCTTCATGGTTGAGTGGGAGGAGTGGACGGTCGAGCGGGCAGGTTGATCCGAGCGACTGATGCAGTTCCCGGCGCGCTGCCGTCTTATATCCACAGCGCGGTGGCATCCTACGCTCGGGGGGCAGCCCCCTCCCGCCGCAAACGCGCCCTCCTGGCGTGGCCTTCAGATGTCGAAAGTCGGCGGGTCGGTGACGCGGCCGCCGAGCGCCCATCTCCCTGCAGCCCGGCACATGAGACGGCGGACCTCCGGACAGCCGCCGGCGGACCCTCAGACAGCCGCCGGCGCACGACACTGGTAAGAACGCCTACCTATCCGTCACAAGCCTAGCATCCCTTCCTTTCCACCCAGAACAGGGCATCAAGACAGACATGTGCTGAGCTAATGGCTATGGCTATCGTGATCGCGATATGCCTCATAACATCAGGCATGTATCAGCTATAAGACGACCACATGGATGAAATAAGATAGGTAGTGTAATCGGACGTTATTAATTTCTGATGGTGTTTTTGCTCTACCTTTTGTCCACAATCGAAATAGAGGAAGCAGTTGATTGCCAACCCCAGTCGTTGCGGTAAAAAGCTAACGGGTGACGATGGCCGTCAGTATTCGCTCGCGTGTTGCCGGGGCGTGAGGAAGAGTCACCCCCTGCCGAGGCGCTGATAGGGTGGCGTCAGATCCCATGTGCCTGAATCACAGCGAGCAGGCCGTGTCGGACGAGCGTTCGCTAAAGTAACTCGCTGAAACTCAAGGGAGTGACGGAACAATGGTTCGGAGCTACGGCCGCAGACATATTCAGAGACGAGGGGTTACGATGGGCAGACGCAACTACGATGGAGTTGTTGAAAGCAGCGGTAATCACAACGCTGCAGAGAACTGAGTGTCATGGAGCCGATACTCCAACAATGACAGGCGTCGTGAAATCATTCATGAATAATTACAGTAACAAAACAACTACCAACACGCGGAAGATTTCCGTCTCATATTTTATCGTCGGGAACTGCGATACCGCACAAGCCAGAACCACCCGGCGTATGAGACTGCTATCGTTCATATGACAATAACACTAAGCGGCCGGAGAATGGGGCCGCTGATCAGCCAGCCTCCTCCTCATTTCTCTACGCTGTGGAAAGCAATGCGGCCGCCCACGTAAGACTAATACCACAAATCTCTGAGAAAATAGGTAGGGCTTCTAGTGAACCTCCAGTTTCTACCAACGTCCCTGAAAAGCACAGTGGCAGTGAGCAGTGTGCCTTCACCTACCTCAGATACCGCAGTACGTGATAAGCCTGGAAAGGACAGGCGGTCAAACTACACAATCACCACACGTTATTCAAAATTTTAAAACGCTATCATCACAATGTGACACTGTCTTACTCAATAACTCATTGGCATTAGTCACCACATCACGACGTTTGACATGCGATACAAACTATACAAAATCGAAGGAGGAAACTGCAGCGGCACCAAGAGGTGCTGAGCACTTGCTCACTTTCGAACCAACAAACGGCGAAAACAGCGGAAAGCTGACGAGCCTGCGTCATGGCGATCGCCTGTATACAGGAAGGCTTAGCGGCAGAACTCATACGATGCAATGCATAAGAAATCTTCAGACATCAAGCACACCGACTCTGCAATTACACCGTGGGCTCTTTCCGCCAATATCCGACTAATCCCAGCTGACAGTGTGGCGTGCGGGGGCGTCCGCTGCTGTCGGCGCCGCGAGTCATGTGCTCTCGCGACCTCGCGCCGCGAGACACGCGGACTCCTTGACACGGGCTCAGCGGACAGACGGACAGACAGACAGGGTCTGCAGGACCGCCGGCGAACGCCACCCACGGACCGACAAAGCCGCCATTAAGCATACATGCACACGGCGGCAGCCGAGGTGCCGGAACAGGGGATTAGCGCGGCGGCGAGCCGCAGCCGGCCGGCATCACTGCCGCCGCCGAGCCGCTTAAACCGCTAATTCATTGGCGACCATGAATAGTAATGGTAAATGGCAAATTACGAACCAGTCATTAATCAAGGAATACTACCTACGTGGCATGATACATCAATTTCAGCAGTTACGGTAGTCAATCAATCAATCAATGAAACTTACCATCCCATTATCTAAACCAACTCTATATACTTGCCGTCTGCATTCGAGTAATATCGGCTTCCAATAAAATAATACATAGATAGCCTACATTCCAACGTTATGTAAAACACCACACGGTTACATAAATGTGAAATATGATGCGGCCGTCGAAATCCAGACGGTTGGTCCAGCATGGGCCTGTGGCAACACGGTATGTCAACGATGCTGACATCGCCTACACCGCTCTAGGTCACCAGCCGTACGAGAGTCGGCGACTCCTATCCTTGGGAACATTCACTAACTAGTTCTCGACGCCCACAAGCATCCCCCGCAGCCCCATAATCACATAGTTTCCGATTGAGTCCATCATGCGGGATGTGGTCCTACCTTATGATCTGCAAAATACACAACCCGAACGCTAAGAATACGTAGGATTTCTTGCAAGCTCAGTGTGAAGAAATACAAAATACAAGTAATTCCGATTGTGCTGCTGCTGTCACCCTGCCACTTCAGACGCGAGCTGCAGCGGAAGGTGGACGAACGCTGGTCAATGTTAGGACATTTGATTAACAAACCTCCAGTTTCCCAACGGCCACTCATCCCATCACGTCGTCTTTCAAACACGATTCCAACAACATCTAAAGAAACGATACAAAGCCCCAAATACTGTGTATTGGTCGATATCACGCGATTAAATAACATTGAATATAGGTACTGACACTACGTCTTACCTACATGATTGCTTCTTGCTGACGAACGACATGCGTTTAGACACCTATCTGATAGGAAATTGAAACATTCCCATATTAGCTGCATTATACAAACATGCAGATAAAAGCATAAGGCAAGGACATACAAAACTCCACATTTGTAAACATCGCCCTAAGCAACAACGAAGGCGTGCACACCGCATGGAAAGAAACACATGTGACGATTTGATATACAATGACGCCAAGTGATTAGGCAGGAATACAAGTTAAGCCCACTGATTTGATCAGGTGGCCTGCATCCGGAAATGTTCGGAGACACACAAAGTGCCAAACACGACCGTGTCCCTCTACATTAAAGGATTGACACTAGCAGGTATCAAGGGAACTGCAATCCACAGGCCTCTTGTTGATAGGCTTCACGACACAAATCAATCGGAAAGCTTATTCGTGAGTGCTGCATCAGGGCTGCATTCGTATCTACATCTCTGATGGTCCAACAACTCCGATGTGCGTGTTTGGAAGGAACTCAACCGTGACCCAGGAATGCCATCCAGTACTTGTATGGCTCATATAGAACCCGTGCCACGAGGGTCGCCTGGGTGTGAATAAGTGCGAACTTCACGCAAAAAAAAAACTTCCAATAGTGACAAAAATCAACCCGTTACTTTATAAATTGTTCAAGGCGTTACTTCACCTAATGCTGCTTGCTAAAAATCATAACCAGTATTTGTTTCCACTCTATAAGTAACTGCGTGGCCGAAGAATGGTCGCCCACATATGAAAAGAAGACGTCCACATAAGCAAAAGCATAATCATGTTCGTGACGAGACTAGCGGAATGTGGATACATCCAGAACGCCACGAATACAAACCCACCGGACTAGGTCCTGTCCGGGTGGGCATTTAACAGCTCTAATCAGAGATCGAATTAGATAAACAATAAGCAGCCAGCACAACGAGCTACCCAGTATCACAATGCCCACAGTCCAGATAAAGATGCCCTATAAGGGCACCTTACCTCCACTCAGCTTTTCAAGAAGTATTTGTCAATTGCCACAGAGGTTTGTAATGGCTGCCGTAGACGAAAGGCGAGGCTGCGATGATGTCATCACAAGCGGAACCTAACTGTTGTGTACTGGAACAGCTGCAGTCAGGGTAGACTCCCCTTAGGAATACAATATCCCCGGTCCGATATTTTAAAACACATCTGACCTCGGATGGCAGAGCGAGTGTCGCTAGCCGCAGTTTCATCCGCCCAGCAGCACGACTGCGTATTTTCACAGCAGCGGCCTCTTCAGACCCCTGCGACTGCACGCCCTGCCTCAGCTGCCTGCCGCCGGTCCCGGGCAGGGCCTACCTTACCGCTGGTGGTCGACCACACGTCCAGTACTGTCACGTGGTCACCCGCTCAGCACGGTCCGCTCAGGCCGCGACAGGTCACGTGACTCCAGCCGCCCTGCCGAAGGACCAGGCGCCGTCATTGTTTGAGAGTTATCCACCCACGCCGGCCAGTCGGCGCCCCCTGACCACCCCGTCCCCAGCCCCGGCCCCACTGACAGCCGGCACATACCGGGATGGACGGAACAGGAGCCACTGCAGACGATACACGCTATCACCACATCAATCACACAACCTTGGAATGTCAACACCAAACAAAACGACCCGACAGCTAATGACCAGATAAAAAAAATACTCAAACGGGTTACTTCATCTCAATCCGCAACCCACGAGTGGATGCGCGATACCAAGGTCACACGAGAGTGGCGACTTTTCTTATGATGATTATCGAGACGAGGAAAGTTTGAGTGACTAAAAGGGGATAATCAGTAGCGGTGATTTCCGATCACATAACCTCATATGCAATCTTGTATGTGTGTCATTGAGCAATATGTGCTATTTTCTACTTGTAACTGACCAAAACATGCGAAAATGTAATGCCAACCAATGACAAGCAGCGGAAAAGTAACAATCGACACGACCTATTTTAAGGTAGCAATAGCTGGTATTAACTTGGTAATATGGTGGTGGTGACTGATCTCGAACTTAATTTTGAAAAGATGAAACTCTGCTCGATATAATTATGATGTGCAAAAACGGTACACAGGTTCCATCCCCTGTCTCACTCAAGGGGAGCGAAAAAGTAGCTGCTAGGTGGGGGAATATACGGAAAAAAAGAAACACGGAAGGAAGTAAAACATCAAAATGCGTTCTCAGTCAGCGAACAGCCGCGTCCCGTATATGATTATACGTTTACGCACGGGCAGTCCCTGCTGCCATTCGGTATGGTATGTAGTGGGTATACGTACGGGCAGTCCGTGCTGCCACTAGCTCCGTGGGTAGTACACATATAAGTGACATATCACAGGTATACGTACAGGCAGTCCGTGCTGCCATTCGGCACCGGCCGAGTCCTCCTCACAGACGGCCTGTCGGCGCTGCAGCACGCCGCTGTGACGGGACGACACCGCCCACGTCTGGTTACCGGCGCCGCACGACACGTGCGACACGTGGTCGGACACGTGGCGCCACGCCATGCCCATGGGGAACGTGACCGGGTTGATCTCCTGGCGCCAGTACAGCCTGCCGGGACGGGGGGGGGGGGGGAGGGTCGGTCGGCCGGTCAGCAGTCAGCATCGACTCAATATATATGTTACAGGCAAAGTGAAAACTCGGGCATTTTGCAAAATGCCTAGGCAATTTGCAAAATGCCTGACTGGCTAGGCATTTTGCATAATGCCCAGGCAATTTGCAAAATGCCTGACCTGCCAGGCATTTTGCAAAATGCCTAGGCAGTTTGCAAACTGCCTGGCCCACCAGGCATTTTGCAAACTGCCTGAAATTATTTTCTCAGGCAGTTTGCAAAATGCCTGACATCGAACTCACACCAGCGACGATGCGTAAGCATCATTGTAAGTGCCGCCAACAGGGGTTAATCACAAGCGATACGCACCAAGTGGGAGGACACACAGTGAGACATTCTCCGGGTAGCGTTGCCGAGTTCAATGTCACTGGGCCCCAGGCAGCGCGAGCGGCCCGGGCGCCCGGCGCGGTTTTATTACGAGCGAGCGAGCGCAGCGAGCGAAGTGAGTCTTTTCAATATAACGGAAAAATCTCAGTATGAGCGGCCCGGCCCGGCCCGGCCCGGCCCGGCCTGTAACGCTTTTGAGAGGCTTATATCTCAGCAACCGCTGGACCGATTGGCCTGCGGTCTTTTTTGTTGGGTAGCCCCATCCCTTCTACCCCGCAATTGACTACTTTTGATACATCTCAGTGACCGTCGTGGCACGTGCCACGTGAAAAGTCAAGGGTGTTCAAGCTGTTTTGCAAAAGTAGTGATTTTGAGAGGCTCATATCTCAGCAGCCGCTTGGGTGATTGACTTGCGGTAATTTTTGTAGGGTAGCAGCATCCCTTCTACCCAAAATAGGATACTCTCGATGCATGTGGGTCACCCCCAGTGCACGTGCAAAATACAACAATAAGAGGTGCCAAATTTGTTCCCATTTCAGTAACTCTGTAATTACTGGAGCGATTTCGCTGAAACTTGGCATACAGGTAGGCACCCACCAGACAATGCATTCCCATGTGTTGCGGTTAGGGTGCTACTGCACGTGCGCACGTGCAGGGGGCGTTTCCAGATCTCGAGAACGGCTGGGCCGATTGCGCTCAAATTTGGTACACGGTTGGGGACCAGTTAGTAGGGTGCCGTGCAAAAGTCATTTTGGACCCCGTTTGCACGTGCGCACGTGCAGAATGCCGCTTCCAGATCTCAGGAACGGCTGGGCCGATTGCGTTCAAATTTGGCACACCGCTAGCGACCGGTGAGAAGGGTGCTTTGCGCAAGCCCGTTGGAAGCACCCTCTCGCCCTTCCGCACGTGCAGGTCTCACTATCTCGCTCGCTCGTTCTTCGCCCAAAAGGCGTTTTACTGGTCGGTAAACACGCGTTAAACACGGTTATGTTTCTAAGAGGCTTGATGACTCTGGAAATACTTTGTGTGGATATTGATCAGAAAAGAATGTTCTTTCGATGTATGGTAGCTTGATTGGCGAGCCACACGTCTACATTATCAATGCATTGTGACTGTGTAAAGATGAACATGCCCGTTGCATGTAAAACTTGTAATTTCTAAGCGTTTTTTTATTACAAAGGTGTGCACGTGGGTCGTGGATGACCAAAAACTTGCTTTTCTGGAAAAGCGGAAAAGCCACATGTTCTTGTTGTCTATGGAATGTATCTCATCTCATTCCAATGCATTGTCATTGTTTTTTAAACGCTGTTTTTCCTGAAATATACCAAAAATGGCTGATTTCTCAAGATATAGACTATTTCTTTCCACGTGACACGTGATTAACAAAAATGTTTATTGGATACGCTTATCTCTGTTCTATCGATCGCTGGCAACCCCGTGTCACTGCGGCCCTCTCTTGCCGTGATGTAAATAAGCACGGGAAGCGAAGAATGTCGGGTCAATATTCGGCCGGTCGCCGCGTTTTTCCGCGCCCATGTTTCTCTGTGCCATGCTCCGTGCCCCATCGCAGCATTCCTACACACGAACGGCTACAACTCCGTATACGAAAATTATAGGGAGACCTTGGCTCAATCTACACCATTCAGTAGTGGTTCCATCTCGACGGAAGTGGCGCAAGACGTGGGTATATTCGTAAATATTGAATGTGTTTGGGGCTCAGGCACATGGGAGCGACATGGTCAACGCCTGTGGTAAACAAAAACGGTAAAATAAATCAATCACAACTCAGGCATTTTGCAAAATGCCTGACCCGCCAGGCATTTTGTAAACTGCCTAGGAAGTTCGCAAAATGCCTGGTGGGTCAGGCAGTTTGCAAACTGCCTAGGCATTTCGCAAAATGCCTGGCGGTCAGGCATTTTGCAAATTGCCTGGGCATTTTGCAAAATGCCTAGCCGGTCAGGCATTTTGCAAATTGCCTAGTCATTTTGCAAAATGCCCGAGTTTTCACTTTGCCTGTAACATATATAACAACTTACACAGAAAATCAAACATATTACGCATCTAATATACACCATCATATACACCAAATATAATACACGTCATCAAACTGTGGATAGTCACTGGTACGGTCCTGCGAAATAGTGTGATCTCTCGCCGATTGAAAACCGGCTCAATATAGCTACGAGATCCAAAGAATATCCTTTCCTCATCTCATCACCAGACCTTGAATCAAGTTTTGAGATCAGCGCCTTTTACCCTGAACCACATAATGGACACCACATCCCATTAGATACCCATACTTAGTGCTTAGCTAGTAGCCTACAAATCACAATATTTCATGGACTAGAGATGTCAATTGGATACCAACTTTTTGGTATACCGATACCAAACCAATACCAACTCGGTATTTGGTATTTCAATCCTAATGTGTTTGGTATTTTGTTGGTAGCATGAACCCTCGCTAATGTTTAAGAGGCTAAGAAATCGGTAAAAAGTTGGTATTTTCCTCATTTTCCCAAGTTGGCTTAGTTTCGGTATTTCTCCACGGTTTTGGTTGGTATTTGGTTTGGTATCGGTATTCCGATTTTCCGTAATTGACATCACTATCATGGACAATAACTGCGCAAGTCGTCAGACTCACCTGTGCGAATCGTCGACGGCCCAGACGGCCGACTGTCCGGCGGAAACGTGCTTCAGCTTCCTGCCCTCGGGGTGCTCCACCTGAGCCCAGCCGGTGCCTGCGGTGCATCCACGGTCGGTCAGGTTCTTCTCTCCGATAAGTAACACACACGCCACTTACGTAATTGCATCGAAACTTTCGAAGAGATAAATTAGTTCACAATGTTATGGTTGCTTAGTACAAAGTTGTATTTCGCTGCACTGTGCAATGCGATTATACCGACTTACCGAGCAACAACTGTGCGTTTGGAGGAGGGAGGGGGAGAGACATGGGGTGGCTGCAGGGTGTGTCGGGGAGACGATACCCACCGAGCGGCCGCTGGGCGGGGACCCACCAAGCGGCCGCTGGGCGGTGTCGCCGCAGCGGAGCCGGGCGGTGTCGCCGCAGCGGAGCCGGGCGGTGCCGTGTGTGTGTGTGTGGGGGGGGGGGGGGGGGCACCCACCGAGTGGCCGCTGGGCGGTGACGCCGCAGCGGAGCCGGGCGGTGCCGTCGCGCGCCACGGCCCACACGCAGCCGTGGCCGCCGCAGCTGATGGCCGAGAACGGCTGGTCGGTGGTGACGGAGCTCCAGCCGCCGCCGCCGCCGCTGCCGTCCGGCCGCGACTCGAGACGGTGCAGCACGTCGCCGGCTGAGGTGACAGCCCACAGGTGGATCTCGCCGCCGAGCTCCTGTCGAAAACACAGGGCACGGCTACTGAACACAGCTGACAGCGCGTCACAGCCCACAGGTGGATCTCGCCGCCCAGCTCCTGTCCAAACACACGGCACAGGTACTGAACACAGCTGACAGCGCGTAACAGCTCCTGTCCAAACACACGGCAAGGCTACTGAACACAGCTGACAGCACGCCACAGCTCCTGTCCAAACACACGACACGGCTACTGAACACAGCTGACAGCACGTCACCGCCCACAGGTGGATCTCGCCGCCCAGCTCCTGTCCAAACACACGGCACAGGTACTGAACACAGCTGACAGCGCGTAACAGCTCCTGTCCAAACACACGGCAAGGCTACTGAACACAGCTGACAGCACGCCACAGCTCCTGTCCAAACACACGACACGGCTACTGAACACAGCTGACAGCACGTCACCGCCCACAGGTGGATCTCGCCGCCCAGCTTCCGTCCGAAACAGAACAGGTCCCGAACAGCTCCTATTTCAAAACACACTGAGTCAATAGCCCTCTCCATACTATAACACGTCATTACCCAATTCCCCGTCCACATATGTAGCACAAAGAACGCTCCCATCGAAGCCCAATTCTTTGATGTAAATACTCTTAATAAACTCTTTGACAAGCTCCTATTGACGTAAAGCTGTGCAGGCGCAGCAGAAACCAAACCACTCGTCACTCACGTGCATGGAAAGGTCTCGCAGTTTGACGTTGTTGACGCACTCCCAGGGGCCGGTGGTTTTCAGATGACACTTGCGGTACCAGCGTCGACGACGCACAAAGTCCTGCCGGGACGACCAAAGGACAGTCAGCAGCGAGAATGACACGGGGTGGTGGCACACAGAGACAAACAGGTTGGGTTACACAGACAGCCCGGAGCGTATGGCATGCAGATAACTCGACAGCGATCCGAACAGGCTGCATATAGCAGCGGGCAACCGTCATCACATGGCGTGTTCACAGCCAAATCAGCGAAAATATGATCAGAATGTTCGGTCATTTGTACTGGTAGCACTGGAATGGTTACGATGGCACATCATTTATCCTTCAAACAAGTTAAGGTACGAGAAACATGCTTACTAGCACAATTAAACTTTGCAGAGTGAATGCCTAAGCCAGATTTATTGCAAAAATAGACGTCAACTCCTGTCAAAATGGGCTTCTAAATGACAAAACATTCCTGATGAAGCGTCAGGGGCATTTTTCTGCGACTGATTCATGCATATTTATCATGACAAGTTACTGGATCTTAGCAAATAAGCTGCCAGCAGAAATAAGTCACATAAGATGGCATCGTTTAGGGCCAGGCCACGAAGATATCACCTGCATTTCCACAAAGGTAGCCGTGTAATCTTACCTCCTCTCGCCCTCCCACCCACAGTAGCGGCTTGTATTGTGATCTCACACACAGCTGCACTAGCCGGTGTTATCAGTATCAGCCACAGTACCGGCCTTTAGTAATGTGATATCGCATGCATACCCGGTAGCCACATTTAGTTATGTGATCTCACATCCACGCCCGGTAGCCGCCTTTAGTAATGTGATCTCACATCCACGCCCGGTAGCCGCCTTTAGTAATGTGATCTCACATCCACGCCCGGTAGCCGCTTTTAGTAATGTGATCTCGCATCCATGCCCGGTAGCCAGTGTACCTAAATCCCTAGCAGCCGTGTCACCTCACCTATATAGCACGGTCGCCGTGTTATCTCACCTACCGTCCCCGGTAGCCGCGTTATCTCACATGTAGACCCTAACGGCGAGTAATAGTCCCGAGGTGGCGTGTAATGCCCGGTAACCAGTGTAATAACTTACATTCCCGCGATAGCCGCTGTCTTCTCACCCACAGTCCCCAGTAGCCGGTGCTGCCTAGCCTGCACTCCTCGTTAGCCCGTGTAATATCACCCACAGTTGCTAAAGTAGCTAGCCAGTGCTATCTCACCTGCATCCCTCGGTAGCCGTGGTAGGAGGCCGGGAAGTCCATGGCGTACTGCCAACCTTCCTCATCCACCCCGCCCGACACGTGAAAGTCCACCGACCAACTGGAGACCTGACGACAGCAGCGCATCGTTAAACTAAGGTAATCTGCCAGAGAGAAAGGCTGCACTTGAGGACAGCACTGCACCGATGAACAGTCAGAGAGAAAGCCGCTTGAGGCCTTGGGACAGTGTCGCACCGGTAAATAATCAGAGAGAAAGGCTGGAGACCCGGGAAACAACCAAAGTCTGGGGGCCTGGGGACAGCGGCATACGTTCGGTGGTCAGTCAGACAGAAATGTTGGAGGGAGGTGATGTCCCGGGGACAATATCGCACCGATGAGCAAAGGTAGTCAATCAGGAGTAAAGGTAAGTAAAGGAGTATAACTAGGGACAGCAGGCCACCTCTCATGGAAACTACATATTAGCAAAAAAGCTCGACACCTCATACATTGCCAGTTCTTGTTCTTGTTGGATTAGGGCGCGTAGCTGCCAGGGCTCAAGCGTCCATCTTCTTTCTTCTCTCACTTGGTATCTCGTCTTGTATCGCTGATAAGCGATTTTGCTTTTGGGAAACTAAGCAGGGTCACTAAGCAAGGCTCTGAAGGATGCAGTATAGCTGGGAATGGGTGTGCAAGGACTTTTCCCGGAGAAGGAATACATTGCATTACATTGAAATACATTGCCAGTTGCTACACCCCCACTTTGCTTTGTTCCAGACACCGCCACACTGGCCGATGGCGCGGCTGCGCCGGTGTGCGCGGCTCGCGGTCACCCACCCAGTTCCAGTGTCGGGACGGCGGCAGCACCGTGTCCTTGGTGAGCTGCACGCGGCCGGTGCGGTCACTCCAGGTGGGCCGGTCGGTGGCCAGGCCGCGGTACGAGAACCCTGCCGGCCAGTCCCCGGTCAGCTATTCAGGAGATGCTGCGGTAAAATACACTTGCACGGCCCATTAGGGCAATCCGGGAGTCCTTGTAACAGTGGCTCATAGTTAATATCGAACGCGAGTCGCGAGACACAGACGGGCGTATAGTTATGAATATGCACGAGACCCATCACCTAATCTGTTGCGTATCTGCCATAGCGGAGCCGCAAATTTCGTGACTGTGGGTCTGTGGGCCAGTCTCAGTAACCTAAGTACCAGAGGAAAGCGCAGCCAGTCACAGACGGCAGGCTCGACCGTAACCGGCCTGTGAGCCGGCCGTCCTGTCTGCTCGTCCTCAGCCCGGGTGTAAAACTCGGCACCCCGGTCCCCCGACCCGGCCAGACAGGTGGCACTGCGCTGACATAATGCCGGCATTAAACTGTCACACGCCCGATTGAAGCGATAAGCTTGTGGCGTTTTAATGCGCGTAATACGCAGCAGCACGTTTATCATTTGTCATTCGGACTTAAAGTCAAGCTCTTAGGGCCGTATTCTTTGCTTTTTTAGCGCCGATCAGTATTTCATGAGTCATTAAAAACAAAACATCTCGGCAAAAAGGACTTTCAAACACACGTAACCGAACAGAAATAACAAACAGATGAATACAGTTAAAGACCCAAACTGAGTGGATATGATCAGACTAAGCTTTGCTGACCAGCGTTTGGGACAGCCTGCCCCGATCTCGTGCTGCGCCGGCCCAGCCTCGACCCACTATCCTGACAGAGGGTTCCAGCGCTGGTAACATAGACCCACTGACCTGACAGGGGGTTCCAGCGCTGGTTAGATAGACCCACTGACCTGATAGAGGGTTCCAGCGCTGGTTAGATAGACCCACTGACCTGACAGAGGGTTCAAGCGCTGGTTAGATAGACCCACTAACCTGACAGGGGGTTCCAGCGATGGTTAGATAGACCCACTGACCTGACAGAGGGTTCCAGCGCTGGTTACACTGACCAAATAACCTTAGAGAGGGTTCCAGCGCTGGTTATATAGACCCACTGACCTGACAGAGGGTTCCAGCGCTGGTTCTCGTAGATGTAAAAGTAGCGAGTGTCTGTCATAGTGTGCAGTTGGCCGCTGCCTCCGTGCTCTGCAGACAGCCAACATACCAGCTGAGTGTCATACCGGCATACAGTCATACACTCATCATCAACCGGTGGGTGGGATTCCATTGCACTGTCAAAACCGAATATCCGAAAGTCTGTTTGTTTGTCTGTTGTAAGACTGCAGCTTAGAGCTTCTGTCTGACCCAATAGTTTATAGTTAATACTGACAGACATGCGGCCGTAAAACGAGGTTCTAATGGACGGCACCCAACAAAAATCACATCACGTTTCTTGGAAAGAAGGCGCGATTAGTTGACATACACCGATAAAACTCGTGGCAGTTGATATGAATGACTTGGTGAGCGTGTTTGGACGCTGAGCCGCAGATACCGGGAGCGGTAGAATGTACGACCCTGCACCGCGGTAAATCACAGCAAGCGGCGTGTCCAGTACCGTTCACGGCTGCGGCTAGTTCGTTTACGGAGGTTTAGCGCGGTTTTACAGTGCTGTGTTGGGGACGGGTTGCAGTGTGTGTGATCAGCAGGAACGGTCTCTGTCTGTCGCTCTTTTGCTCCGGGCGGCGCGGGTGACGGGGCAGGGTGAAGGGTGACGGTACCGCCGCGCCGACTGACCTGTCAGCTGATCCGCAGGTGACAGGGCAGGGTGAAGGGTGACGGTACCGCCGGGCCGACCGACTGACCTGTCAGCTGGCCGCCGCCGGTCGCTCCCGTGTACACCCACGGCGTCTGATCGTGGCCCAGTCCCCAGACCACGCCATGTGGGCCGGCCTCTACTCGACGGAGGTGGCCGCCCAGCTGTCTCCAGAACAGCTCCTCAGGAGCCGCCTCCGCCTACAGAGACAGAGACACACCGTCAGCTGCCTCCACCTGACACACATAAACCGTCAGCCGCCTACAGAACAACTCCTCAGGAGCAGCTTCAGCCTACAGAGATACAGAGACACGGTCAGCGCCCAGCGGCCTATGCCTGACACAAACACACACAGTCAGCTGCCTCCAGAACAGCTCCTCAGGAGCCGCCTCCGCCTACAGAGACAGAGAGACATGGCTAGCTGCCGCCGCCTGACACACATTAACCGTCAGCTGCCAACAGAACAACTCTTTGTTTTTGTTTTGTTGGGTTAGGCTCTTTCGATCTGACAAGACCATTTCAGAGCCGGAAGGATGATAGGAATTAGGGGGAGACATTGGTCTGGGCAGGCACCCTAGAGAGTCACCAGGGCCGAGCCCGTATAACAGCTCTTCAGACCTTCACCAAATATTCAGACACTCCAGCCCCGCCGCCTCCCGCCTGACCCGTGACCGCCCCTCTGGCGGTACTCACCGGTCCGGCGTCGTAGGACACCTGAGTGACGAGGATGTCCCCCTTGATGGTGACATGGGTGATCCGCCGAAAATCCATCCTGTGCGTGAACAGCGTGCACAGGCCCAGCGCCAGCACCTGTAAACACACACCGCAGGAGACATGTCAAAGGTTGGCCGGTGAGGGAACCGTTTCGTTTACAGGAACATTGTTTTTGTGTTACAGGACTGAAAAAACGACGCATCGAGCAGTCTTGCGTTCAGTTTTACGCTTTTACGTTCAGCCAGTTTTAATATATGCGTTGACATCTCGTAAAATGTATATTACTTACACACCATATAAAAGACAAACAGACGAGAAGGAAGACGAATGATTTCTGCGCATTACAGATTACAGATTACAGATTACAGATATATTCAGACAAGGTCCTCTCAATAGTGAGGCTTTTCACATGTCCACGTCATGATAGTGTGATACAAAACGAGGAACAGTGTGCAGCACGCATAATTCCCACACACGCATAGTCGGACAGAAGCTGTGACAAGGTGACGCCCTTACCAAAAAGTTGTGAGCTTAACAGAACGAGGACAGTTAAGTCTCACCTTGAACTGGTCCTTGAGACAGATGATGTGGATCTCCCCGGTGTCGCCACCTTTGAACGGCTGCGGCCCGTCGCGCTCCTCCCGACCCCAGTCGTCCTTTGTTCTGCTGTTACGAACAATCACCTGCGGACAGCGCATCGTCCGGCGTTTGTGACAGTGTTTTCCTGCGTCATGGGGTGTGGTCACTAGTCAGTGGTCGGCGTCAGACATCGCACAGTTTACCGAGAGTGCGGTATAATGCCAAGTAGTTAAATGTACCGCCCAGAGAAAGCAGTAGCGGCAGCACCGTCTGGCGATATACAGCACCGCTAGACAGACCAGTGGTCAACACAAGCCGCGAAGACAAGATGTCAGATTAAAAAAGTCATCAACACAAACCTCGCAATAGCAGCTACGGTTTCGACGTCAAATAATAGAATCAACGTTGGCACCAATGCACATGAATGCAGCTCAGAAAACATTTGTCGTCACGCGCTATGTAGAGCTGACGTAGGCCAGAGTCGCTGGCGGCTCCGCCTCTTGCTCCCCCTTTCCTAAGTGACAAACGCGTCACGATCCTACGGCGAGTCCCCTCGGAGGGAGCCCAGTCCCTCTACCCAGCGCTTGGCCTGGGCGATGTCCTGCGTGCAAACGTGGCTTCCCATCAAGCTGCTACCGTCCACTCACGTCTCGGTTGATGCGCGGATTGAAGTGGAAGACGTTTTCCGTTTCCTGGGATCCCGTGACACCAGTCATCAGGTTGATACTGAACCAGCTGAAACACATCGGGGATTTGGTTACGGCTGCACATATGTACAAAATCGGTATAGTTAATAGAACAAAACACACGCTAGCTGGTGGACACGACATTCAGTCACACAGCTATTGGCGTAATGGGAGATATCTTACACGTCATACAGCAGCTCAGAATAACGCAAAATCTGTACCATCAAGCAGTCAGTGCCAGAAGAAACGCTCCACCTTCACGAAGATGCATCCGACCTGGTTGCAGCGACTCTGACAGCGAAGCGAGCCTGTGGCAGCGTCAGTGGCGGCATACTCCTGCAGCGAGCAGAGAAGTCCAGCACGGAGAGACAAGGAGCAGAGAGAAACACAGCGGTAGCGGAGCAGTCGCTGGCAGCAGGCACCAGTAGCGGCAGCGAGCGGCTGCCAGGAGGGCCCGAGAGGCGGGGAGCGCCGGGGACAGACGGCTGTCATGCTGCGGCGGAAACTCGGGCCTTCCTCCGGCTCCTCTCTCCTCCCAGCGGTCGGCAGCGGCCGCCTCAGTCCGCGGGGTCCCCGGGCGCGCCGAGTCACCGGCCGTACCTGGCGCGCCTCTGCGCAGCTCCTCCCAGGCCAGGCCGGCCGTGTGCAGCGTATTGGGACCGGGGCCCGTGGCGAGTACAACGGCCGTGGCGAGTCCACCCACTAGCAGTCGGGTGCCGGCCCCGCCGGTGGCGGTCTGCTGCCCTGTCCACTGCACCAAGTCCAGCACTGACTCGTGGAGCGCGCCGCGCGGCCCGGCCGGCCACTGGTCGGTCCGGTCCTCGGCGAGGGTCGCCGTCCTGCCCACCCAGTCACAGACCACAGTGACGGGGGTCGGGGATCGATAGGCAGTGCCGACAATCACCGCCAGCCGCCGGCCCACAGTCGTGCTAACCAACAGTCACCGCCAACTGACAGTGACTGTAGTGCGGCAGACACTGCAGGCAGCAGCTGACAGTGACTGACGGCCAGCTGGGCCAGCAGCTGACAGTGACTGACAGCCGTACGGTCAGTGTCAGCCGACAGTCACCGCCAGCTGACAGCCAATTCTGACAGTCAGTCATTGTCAGCTGCCAGCCGATAGTGACCGGAATCACTGCAGGCAGTAGACGTCGGATAGTGGCCCAGGCCGGCGCTGACCACACACGGACACTGCCGACCAACAACCATTGTTCGCCGACACTCGCATCAAAGCACAATCAGACCATCGGACACGGATACACACAGACAGCGACAGCTCGCCAGACAAGCTCGGCCACGAAGCACGCCTGCCGGGCGCGGAGCCACTCAGGGGAGCGGACACCGGCGCGCGGGGGCCCGGGGCTCCACTGACCTCGGGTGTGTGGGCAGTTTGTAGCTGATGACCAGACTGCAGCCCTCCGTGAAGCCACGCTCCAGGCGCCGGCACAGAGGGGTCTGGCAGCCAGCCGGGTCGGAGACCAGCTGACACTGCGACAGCTGCGCAAACACGGGGGACATGAGGTCAGGGAAGGTCACAGATCAGGTACCAGTCATGAACCGGAGAGTTTATATCTGGATTGGTCAGCAAGGGAACAGGTGATAATGGCGGTAAAAGTTTCAGTGAATAAGTAGGTCAGTCTACCCTAGTCCTTCATACGAAACGATGTGTCCCTCTATTCATAAACATAATAAGGAAATGTCCTCCCATCAAGATCGCTGTCTGCCCGATACATGAAGTTATAGGTACTGCAGTTTGATGCGCCCCAGTCCGCAAAATCGTCTAATCCACGAGCGTACGCGCCGCCACCCGCCCAACTCGCAGTAGTATACGACCCCCCCCCCCCGCCCAACTCACAGATGAGTGCGTCTCGGCGGCCAGCTCTTGCTCTGCCGTAGTGAGCCGCTGGTCGCTGACCATAATGTCGCCCCTGTCGGTGACAGCCCAGAGCGAGTTCTCGCTCGGCGCTCCCTCTATCCGGCGCAGTCGCACACACGCTGCCGGACAGAGGCGGGCCGGGCGTCGGCACGGGAATACGGGTCGGGAGTCGGTACAAGAACAAGGGTTAGGAATCGTCACAGAGAGGCGGGTCAGGAGTCGGCACGGAGACATGAGTCATGAGTCAGGAGCATGCCAAAAGCCGCTAACGACGGATCATCCGATACTCAGTAGCCAAATACCCACAGTAGAACACCATGGTAAACTTTGATACCAGACAACGGCAGCGTTTAACTGCCGCGGCATTAGGGTTGATGTCCCCGGCGACCAAAAGTCGTCGGGCTCCACACACCTGTCTGAATCATATCCAGCCAATCCTCCATCTCTGCTTCCTCGGCGAACCAGAGTTTTAGGGGGAGCCGGCGCCGCATCCGCTCGGCGGTCAGTACGGCGAGAACGGACTGGCGGCGGGACTCGGAGCTGTTCAGAACGGCCGACACTTCCGAGAGACAGACAGACGCCTGGAAACACAGCACAGCACACAGTCATCACACAGCACACATCACACAGCACGGCAAGTACGGACTGGCGGCGGGACTCAGAGCTGTTCAGAACGGCTGAGACTTCCGAGAGACAGACGGACGCCTGGAAGCACAGCACAGCACAGTCAGCATACAGCACACAGCACACAGCACAGACAGCACAGACAGCACGGCGAGCACAGATTGGCGGCGGCACTCGCTGTTCAGAACGGCCGATACTTCCGAGAGACAGACAGACGCCTGGCGACGCAGCATAGCACATAGCAAACAGCACATACGGCACACAGCACAGTTAGCACAGACAACACACAGTGCAGCGAGTACGGACTGGCGGCGGGACTCGGAGCTGTTTAGTACCGCAGACACCTCCGAAAGCTGGTAGGTGTCTGCCTCCGAAAGGCCTAGCGACACAGCACACAGTCAGCACAGGTAGCATGCAGCACTACAGAAACACCAACAGACAGACAGAAGCCTCGCAAAGTGAGTACATTTCGCCAAAAGCGAGCATCCAATGTAAAGTAAGCACACTACAATCCACGCAGTAGGGGAGAGTGGGGCTATCTGTTACAGGGGTAAGTTGTTACAAAGAAAATATCTTTAAAAGTACTCTTGATATGGCGCTAATATTTACGCTAGCAGAAAGGTTACGCACAGTTTACATGTCACTGCAGGCTCAGACCTGGTGGAACGCTATGTCGCCCTGTAGGTGCATTGGGGTAAGTTGTGACAGCAAAAGTATTTTTTGCTGGCCAAAACTTTGGGTTGTTTTTTGTCAAGGTTATTTGTGTAAGAATGTTGAATGTATGTTCACAAAATTAAGCGATTATTTCTTTTGTAAGATCACCAAGTAAAACGCACTAGCCTCTTCATGTAAACAAACATTTGAGTTCAGTCTTGTGAAAGTCGGCCGCCGCAGGGCCGGGGCATGTTTAAAGATGACTACCCAAGACTGCTTATAGCGTGCTCCATTTCACCTGGGCGTAAATTTCGTGCAGAAAATCAAACTCCGGTCAGTATGGCAATGCATGGTGCCCTTGGCGTCGCAGTAAAGGCAAATCAGAAATTGAGCCATGTTTGATGAGCCTTTTCATGCGTGTGGAGTACAGTAATGGTTTAAGCTTTATTGTTCTTGCCTTTCAGTGAGAAAGGAAAGCATGTTTAGTATCATCCATTAGGGAGGCTTACGATCGGTTCCGATAGGACGGCCAATGACAGTTATAATGATGAAGAAACTACGAAAAAAGAAGTGTAACATCTTACCCCATATCGTGTATCAAGTTGCCCCACAATTTTTCAACTTACCCCAAAAATCTTGCTTTGGTTTTCTGAATTTCTCATAAAAGTGAATAGTCGTAAAGAAGTGAAAGTTTGCATGTGCTTTCCAAATTGATTCAGCTAGCATGTGACCAAACTTGGTGCAATTTCATTGAATAGTTTGGCCACTAAGTGCAGAAGACCAAAAAGTGTAACGCATAGCCCCACTCTCCCCTACGCACCCAATAGATCAGACACTTCACACCTTCTTTCCCCTCCCTCGAGCCGTCACGCCCCGGTGCGCACCACAATGACAGTTAAAATTTTATCATTGATCAACCATGTTACTCAGTACTCACCATCTTCTCGCCGCCGACGTAGACGCTGATCTGTCCGAACTCGACCTGGGCGGCGCCGGTGCCGCGCTGCTCGAGCTCCAGCACGGCCTGCGCCCAGTTGTGCGGCGGCGCGTCTGTCCACCAGCGGCACTTGGTGGTGCGCGTCCACGAGCTCCTGGGGGCGGCCAGACGGGCAGAGTCGGTCAGCGGCGAGACTGGTAGAGTCGGTCAGCAGCGGGGCGAGAGATATCAGGGCACAGACGAAGTTTATGTTAGATTTATCACGCATCGCATCTGTCATTCACGTATCGCATCTAATACCTACGTAATGCTAATACATTAGTTGTGTCGCACCATCGTAATATCACAATATCGAAGTACCACAATGCTCAGTAACAATCCCACCACAGTCTCGATTCGAGCCCGCCAATCCTTTACGAGCTGCACCCACCTCTCGATGGCCTCATCGTAGAGTCCGTTGAAGGGTCGTACCCGGCTGTCCCGCTCCTTGAGGAGTTCCAGAACCTTCTGTTTCCACAGCTCCTCCTGCTGGTCGGCCACCACCGGACCCGAAAACCTGACAACACAACACGTATGCTTGAATGCGTCTTCTCAAGTTACTAACGCGCCCCGCAGTGTTGCATTTCAAATTCAAACCATACATCACCACCACCTACAAACGGACAGAATGACAGGAAAATTAATGTTTCGGAAGAGCCCCTCACGGACCAGGGCGGCACGTGCAGTGGGTCCAGGAAGCAGCCGCCGGCCGCCACCGACGTCCAGCCGCGACACTCGGGCCCGGCGCGGCCCAGCGGCACCGCCGAGGGCTCGTCGTCGTCCAGCCGGAGCAGTCGCAGACTGGCCGTGTCTCCGGCCGACTGGCCTGGAACACAGCGTACACAGCATAGTTAGGAGACAGGAACCACAACATTGTCAACTGACACACGATATCAACCAAGAAGAACGGTCGACCAGAGCTTATAGGTATCTGCAGAGCAATATGATTCTAAGTCAAGAAGTACCAGACGCATGAATCATAATTAAAACGGTAAAAAAGTAACTACGGTGCATCTTCCGTAAAGCACCCACTGCTCTGCATCCTCCATCCCTGACCGGCGTGTCGTCCGAAACCCCGCCGCACCCACCGGACATTGAGGAAGTGTCGGAGTCGTACGGACAGCCGGCCGGCTCTGTCGCGCCCTGACCGTCCCCGCTGGCCGGCTCCGGCGCGCCCTGGCCGTCCCCGCTGGCCGCCGCCGGGGGTCCGTCCGGCCAGTCAGCGGGGACGGCGGCCGGGAACGGCAGCGAGGCCACGCTACCGGAGCGGCTGGAACCCGCCGCGCCGGGGTGGGGCACCGTCAGCGGACGCCAGGTGTGACCCGTCAGCTCGGCGTGAGAGACCCGGCCGCGGACGTACAGCTGCACCCCGTCCGTGCCGAGCGCCACCACCTGGCGGCCAGGACGGGAAACAAAGTCACGGACTCACCACGACGGACACATCTAGCACAGGATTATGGAATCACTAGATACAGATATACCTACAGGTACTGAGTGGAAGAGACCGCCATGGTTCCGAAACAGCCAGCCCTTATTTCTAGCACTTGCCTGGTTGTTGGGTCCGACGGAGACGGCGGCCATGCTGCCCACCATCTCCAGCCAGTTGGTGCCGCGCGCCAGCGTCGGGTTGCTGGACATCTCGTGGCCCTGCCGACGATACACCGAGAAACGTCAATTACGTTCATGACGATATGGTAAACGAAAAAAAAAACATACGAGCCAATAACACATGCTAGCTTTGCATAATGCATACCCGGCCGCGGATGTACTCGTCCCCTTAACACTTCAGCTTCCACGCACATCCATTCAAAGCCACTTGAATTGTGAGATCGAAAACTTCATAAATCATAAAAAGTGGGATTCGGAAAGAGTCCGCGAGGATAATGATCGCACTTTCCAGTGGTCATCTCGTCGCCAGCCTAGCGGCGCACACACAGGCCCCACTCCCTGAAAGCGACTGACCTTGACGCCCTGTCTGAAGAAGACCCGCTTGTCACTGGAGACGGCCCAGACGCTGTTGTCGCCCACGCTGACCTGTTCCAGACGCACGCCGTCCGGCGGCGGCACCTGGCACCAGTCAGTGCCTGTGGCACACCGGCGGCGCTGGTTACGTAAACCATACTGTACTGGGCTACTAACGGCTGTGGCACACCGGCGGCGCTGGTTACGTAAACCATACCATAATGAGCTCTTAACAGCTACCACAGTTTAGTGGGATCAGGGATGAACTGATATACTGCAGGTCCAGTTAAAAGTTTGGATACCATTTAACGTCAGCCCAATGTGGATACAGTTATAAAATGGTGGCATATTGCCCAGGATATCATCTCCACCCTGCCTTAGCCTCGTAACCCCACCAACCAGCTGTCCCACGCACTTCTCCTTTTCCACCATCCAGTGGCGTTCTTATCTCAATATGGCTTCATCACTTCAACGCCGATCTCCCATAACCCCTCCCCATCCTCTTTTCTACTCTAGTAGGGCATCAGGGCGCACCACTTGCAATTTTTTTTTGCGCACCCGCCCCGTCCGCCGCTCTGCACGTTTTGCCGTTCTCACCATGCGGCGTGTCTCGCGTCATGCCGGTGCGCACCAGGGCGCCTCCGTCCCAGGTGAGCGCCCAGGTGAGTCCGCTCGGACCGCAGCTGATCTGACTGGCCTCACTGCCGCGCGGAGTGGCCACCGGCAGCCAGGAGACACCCTCGGGTGACAGCCGTCCCACGCCGCTCCGGAATATCACCTGGATGGGAGGGAGCGGTGAGGTCAGGGACCAGAGCACGGACGGAGCGGCAGCGGTCGGAGATCGGAGTGGCGCACTTTGAGGCTGGCACACTCAACTAGAGTAGCAGAAATCCCAGCTTTGCATCAGGCTGGAATCACCTTTCAATGAAAAAATCAAATAAATGACAAAGATGCAATTGCCGCAGTTAGACGCTGTTCAGTGCTCACTGCAGGGATGCGGAGCCGTGGAAATTTCAGACGGCTCCGGCTCCGGCTCCGAGTAAAATGATCCGGCTCCGGCGGCTCCGGCTCCGGCTTCTACTCAGTACATCCCCTATGCGATCAATTAAATACGGGTGGAAGAAAAAAGGCGATGGGATTGGTACACTCGGGGGCAGATTGATGTTCCACCACTCCCTACCCATCGGGCGATCCCATGGCTCAGCACTGGCTGCTGCCAGTGTTGCCTGCCCTCAGCACTGCTCAGCACTGCCTGCCAGTGCCAGTGCTGCCAGTGCTGTCACTGGCAGCAGCCAGTGCTGAGCCATGGGAGCCCGATAGGTAGGGAGTGGTGGAACATCAAACTGCCCCCGAGTGTACACGTTGCTTCTGTATTTGTATAACAAGGCTATTTTGAATACCACATTGTTTTACGCCTTGTACTGTCAAACTGAACTAGGTAAATAATTGTTTCCTCTTAAGAAAAGGAGCCGGAGTCGCCCCCTTTTTTGACGGCTCCGGCTCCGCCTCCGGCTCCGGGCTATATTGTTTCACGGCTCCGGCTCCGGCTCCGCATCCCTGGTGCTCAGTGTTCAAACATCAACATTTCATTGGTGTCTGTTGGCCGCCTGCAGTTCTAAGCTCTAAGAACCCCTACACCCGATGTGTGACGGTGAGTGCCTCGCTGCTCGGCTGCTCACCCGTCCTCGGATGGTGACGGCCCAGACCATCAGGTTGTCGGGCTCCCATCCGGCCAGCTCGGACCCGCCCACGGCCACGTCCACAAACGGCTCCTCCACGGAGTCCTGGTGGTCACAGAACCCGGCAGTACACAATGAGTGAGTGAGAGGAACCGGAGGGTCGGAGGGCATAACCGATACAGAACATAAGGCGACAGAAACCGGCGCTACGTACACGGCCACGGGGTGTGTGACTAAGCGAGCGAGCAGGTCTGACAGCCGATGCTTACCGTGCGACAAACGGCGCCACACTGACGCCGGATGCATGCATAGTTCATACCGATTAAAGGTAACTTGATGCCAATGTGATACAACGTATGTAAGAGTCAACAAAACAGCTTTTAATTAACAAGACCCCACCCTCCTCCCACACACACACACAGGCGGATGGTGTGACACTAAGGTCGGTCGTACCCTGTGCAGCGGCGGTACCGACGACCACGTGTTGACGGCCACGTAGCGGCGATAGCGCACCCAGCGCCGGCGGCGCACGCACGAGGTGAACCGTTTGTACGGCGAGTAGGCGGCCGGGAAGTCGACCGCGTACGTCCACCCCTCGGTCTCCAGCTGTGTGCCGTTCAGCGTGCTGTCCAGCTGCCAGTCGCCTGGGCGCAGAGAGGGCACCTGCTCGGTCAGCGCCTGACCTCGCACCAGCTGCATTTGCCATACACATCACCGGCACTGGATAATGAGTGTTTGTGCAGGGCGACTAAGAACAGTCACGTCGGGTTGAGCTGCCGATCGGTCACTGTGACACAAGGAGAGCCTCTCTAGTGTGAAATAACCAAAAACACAACTTAACTACAGGCCGACAGGTAGAGTTCAACTTTGTGTCTATTGCTCATGTTGCAAACATGTTAATGCTATACACAAATCTTAAGTGGGAACCACTCTGCCAAGTTTGTAACCATGCAACCATATGAAACTACTGCACCCCAGTGCTGCAATGCATGTGACAGGCACAGTGAACACCCACCTTCCCACTGCCAGCCAAGGGAGGGCAGGTCAACGTCTGTGAAACGCCGTTCAGTTTTCCCGTCCATCGAAGAGAAGTGGTACCGATCAGTGCCTAGCAGCTTGTCACAAAACCCATCTATGGGGTTCCAGCGCTGGAAAGCAGTAAGTAGTAAGTTAACGGTTAGGTATTCACCACTGGAATGAATACCACAAGGTAGACTGAAATGTTTAATTGAAAATGTGCAGCCGCCAGCGACACAATGTCAAATTTTACATAGCTGTCTGATTTACCTGGTTTTCATAGGTTTCCTCCATGACTCGGATGGGGTTGTCGGTGCCGTAAATAAGCACATACACCTGCTGGTCACCTCCAATGGCCCAGAGGCTGTGCTCGGAGGCTGAGAGCCTCTTGAACTCCACTCCGAGGTACGACAGGGGCTCCCATTTTGATGATGATGTGGACAGCTCGTAGATTCTTCCCAAGAGGTCCACACAAAATAGGGAGGCTGGCATGGCTGCAAACAATTCCAGTTGTGAAATAAATACAACTAGCAAGACTGAGACAAAGGAAGGAGTGAAGTGTGAGCCAAGGTGCAGACCTCACTCTCAAATGCATGCTTTTGATTTTGATGGCATCATTGTTTTATAAATGACTCAGATTTAACAATGATCAGACACTGACCTGATGACCTTGACCTGGCATGAAAAGGTCATATAATCATGCTGCCATCAGTCAAGCTGGATGATTTAGCCGAATCCATCCAAGATGTTTTTATCACTCTAGTACCAGACTGGAAAACATATATACACTATGCCGGACGCCCGTGAAACTCTCTTGCGCTGAAATTCGGCGCAAGTGACTTTGCTTTGAAATTTCTGCATGATTTGTGCAAAAATTGGGTACCTATTTGCGCAAAACTAAGCCACTTTTATATAAAGCACATATGCGCATCTACCAATCAAGGCTATGCCAACCAGACAGTGATCGGGGACCTGGGACGCTCTCCCATGTTTGAGCGTCTGAATAAGTTTTTTTATTTCCACAGAAAACCAATGCCCAACACGTGAGTGCGCTAGGCGCACTGTAGCGTCGTGCCGTGAAAGAAGGCCGGAGCCACAAAAATCGGCAGAGCGGTGTGTTCGAGGCTGGCGGGAGCCAGCGAGAGACAGGCAGTGGAGCAGCACGTGCTCTGGCACATCAGCCTCTTCTCGACACATAGTGCAGAGAGCCGCAGGGTACCGCTTGTCTGGGCACTGCTGACACACCACAGAGTGGACTGTGAAGACAGCCAATGTGGTAAACGTACTGGAATGAGAGGTCCCAGTGGTCCATCCTCATCTGGTCCACCGAAACGGCGTCCTCTTGGCCCTCTGGGGATAGGGAGCAGCAACGTGCTCCCGAGGAGTGGCTTGAATAGTGACTCAGACCAGTTATCGTGCCATGGATGTGAGGCCGCACAATGAATATTGAATCACCCCGAGATGCTCACCTGGGCGGTCGCTCCTCTGCAGAGTACTCCGGGTGGCTCATCAGTTCAGGCACGCAACAACCAGGTGAGGGGGGACGACTCATCCCAAAACTTCTCCAGAGCCGCCCACAGGACGAATCTGCTGCTAGACTGATCAGCGTGCCAACTGCCAACTAAGTTTGGTGACTGTCTTTCGCCAAAAAATTATGCGGCCACCCTGCGCCAAAAATTCAGCAGCCACCATTGCCATGCTCTGAATTTGGCTAATGCAAAGTTACTCTGTAGGTGCGGGGAGCATTACGTCTAGGGGTAAATCGCTTGCCTCTAGCTTCGGCATCTGGGTTCGATTCCTGGGCAATGCACGTGGCATTGCCGCTACCTGGGCGGTGTCTCACGGGACGCTGCTACCACGCTGCTATCAAATTGCGCGAGCTGACGTCACACTTGCGGTAGTGTTGGAGCAATGGGCCTGTTGATGTTTCCATGGAAACCCAATTTGACACGTGTAAAAGCAGCGTGCTGCTATCACCGGTGAAACAGGGCAGTGAGGGCCCTGACCGCTTGGAACAGCATGAGAGTTCCGGTCAGCGCCTTGGTCCACTGGATGTGGTAATTAACCCAAACCAACCAACCAACCGTAGGTGCGCTGAAATTTTCGGTGCAATCCTACCACTAGGTCAAGGTATGCCGGACATATTCAGCATAGCGTGTATTCTTTCCAGTCTGGCTCTAGTATGCTCTGAGCAGAAATCTTTAAAAACAAATGAACTTAAATGACCTAAAATGGCCTCAAGAGCATGAGGTTAAGATGAGTCATAGATAAATGGCTGGCGCCCTCTAGCCCCATAGGTCATGTTCCATTGCATAAAACAGTTTTGTTTTAACCCACCTGACAGTGACTGAATCGTTTCGCTTGGTTACATAGAAAACTGACAGTCCATATCGTCATTCAACTGCAGTGACAATTCTGAGAGAACCGGAAATAATGAGAAAATGTGCACCATTTATCCTTTTTTTCTCGTGCTCGATTTATTTTGGAACTACTGCGCCGACTGCGCCCTTTTTCCACGACTACCATATTGCTACCAAAACAAAGCCGAAAGTTTTTCCTCTACGTGGGTGAGCGGGCGCAGGTGATGTTGGGGGGTCGCGCCAATGACACAGTTGTTTTACAATATTTTGTTGGTGGTGCTTGGCTTGAATGTGTATGCATTGTCATTGAGTTTGAATAAAGATTTTCAAAGATTTCAAAAGATAAAGATTTTCAAAGATTCACCTGTATCGCACAATTATTACAAAAGTAGAGCGTGTAACCACTCGCAAAAGGGAAAACACCTAAGTAAAACTGAATATTTTCTTTACGGATGCGGTCGAATTGGGACCATGACGATCCCACACTTTTGGCACCAATTAACAAATTTCGAGCGTCAGTAACCAGGTAAGTCCGTCAGCTATCGAAGACCGCCCTTTTCCTGGTTACATCAGTCGTCGTCTGACTGGGGCCTCGAAAGCGTTCGTTCGAGGTTCATCGTTGAGTCGTTCAGATGTGACGTGACATAAGACCGCGATAATAAGCACCTCCAGTGTTCCGGATCCAAGCCTGGAGTTTACACAGAGGGTGCGCGCCAACGAGTGCAGACTGCATCACCTGTAGGATTCAGCAGCCCCACGAGGTCATAGATACAGTAACGGTAAGACCCTAGAAGACGTCGACCATATCCTATGCCACATACCCTGCTAACCGGACTATCGGCCGTACTGATTTTTTTTTTAACACCACGTCATACTCTCTAACGGAAGAAAATCTCGTAATTACGACGTACCACATCAAAGGCGAGTGCAAATTATAAACCAAGTCAGATGCATAACGAGCAATTATATTTTGCTGCATTGCTTGGCGAATTAATACAAACGAAAGGCTTCTTTTCACAGCCGGCAAGGCTTGGCTCATCAACTCCCAAATACTGGGGATCCTCATACCCGCAAAGGGCAGCACTATCCGCACGACACATAACAGTTCAATAATCGCCAACACACAACACGACTCCAACACTGAGGTAAAAACTACACTTTGCAAGGGTCCATGAGATGAAGTGAGTGCACCGTTTGTCGAACGGTCAGTTGCCAGGGTAACCGGAGGCCGGCCGCTGGGGCGCGTGGCCCGCCGGCGGCGGCTGGTGCGCGTGACCCGCCGGCAGCGGCTGGTGCGCCGCCGGGGCAGAGTACTGGGACGCCGCCGGCTGGAAGCCCGACTGCATCGAGTACAGAGGCTGGCCGAGGTAGCCCATCGGCTGCTGGAACCGCGGGTACATGCCAGGCGTCGGCTGGTACATCTGAGGGAAGGCCAGGTACGGCTGCTGGTACGGCTGCGGCTGGTACATCGGCATCTGGCTGGGCAGACGCGGCCACTGCTGCTGCTGCTGCTGCGGGCGCGGAGCCGGCGGCGGCTGCGGGGTTGCCGGAGGATGATGAGCCACCTGGGGCTGCTGGAAGCGAGAGGCCGTCGGCTGCCGATACGGGGCTACCGGCCGCAGCGGGATCTGGTACTGGTGCGGTGCCGACTGCGCCTTGACCGGAGCCACGGCGGCCGCCGCAGCGGTGGCCGCCACGGTGACGGTGGCGCCGCTGGAGACGGACAGCGGCGGCGGCGAGCCGTGCGGCGTGGAGGCGGCGCGGGCTGACGCGCTCAGCTGCACCGGCTTTCCGTCCGGGGTGCGCAGCTCGAGGGGGCGGCGCGGCGGCGACGGGCCCGTGCTGCTGACGCTGCTGCGCCGCGCCGTCTCGGCGCCGCTCACCAGCTGACTGAGCTGCACGGGCGTGCCGTCGGGCGCGCGCAGCTCCACAGAGACGCGCGGCTTGGAGACGGCCGGCTCGTCACCGCCCGGCAGGCAGATTGTGCTGTCCTTGCTGGCACACGCCGAGTTATTCTGAGGAGCACCGCGCCCGTTTACAGTCAGACACGGCCAACGACGGACATACACGGGGCACGGAGTATCGACTGAACGCTCAAAATTGAAGACACCAATTTAGTACTTGCACGATGGCGTTCCATGCTTTAAAACACAGGAATTAGCACAAATTACGCCGGATGGCATACGAGAGACAGTGGAGCCTTCGCCCACTCAACTTTCAACGAACAGTCCGGCTACCCTAATCATAGACGACGTCAGCATAAGGTACTGGAAGTCCCGCCCGAGCACCCGCCCCAGAGGCAGCCTGTCTCACCTGACTGGGGTGGATGAACTCGGGTGCGTCCGGGTTCATCGAGAGCGAGGTGCGCGCCGAGGCCGGCTGGCACGTGGAGTGGTTCTGAGAGCCGGGCTGGCAGACGGAGCCCTGCTGTGAGCCGGGCCGGCCGACGACCGCCGCCGCGCGGCTCGCCACGAGCGCTGCCGAACACAGTGCAGAGCCGCGTCAGGTACACGTCACTCGTCAGATCCGAACAAGACGTCAGTTCAAAGCAATATCTCTGAGAATAGCCCGAGCATCGAGGGCGCACACACTTTTACGACCTCTAGTCAATCTCTCGTGCGGTCACCCCGTCCCATCGGGCTGCGTACCGTCAATGCGCCGCTGGAACGAGGCGATCTGGGCGTCCATCTTGCGCAGCTCGTCCCCGATGACATCCTCTGGCGAGAAGTCGGTGCCCTCCAGACCCATCGTGGTGGCCTCCACCTTTCGCCGGCTGTCCGAGGGAGCGGCGTCAGCCATTGTGAGCACCGTCACAGCAGACAGAACAGGCAGTACAGGTCGGCAGGGAAATAAGGTCACCGTAGTCATACACAGCAATTTACCACGTCCGTCAGAGCACGCGATGTAGAACACAGAACACCGCCGTCAAGCCATGGCAGTACAAGACGAAGTCATCGAACCCTAATTACCTTGCCCAACCACAAAACGTCCACCCAAACGGACTGACGGCCGGTGGCTCTGGCCGTTCCCTGAGCGCTACTCCGTCAGAGCCCACCGGCCACCACTCTCCCTCGTGTCAGCACCTGCCGCGGCCGCTCACCGTTTGTTCTGCAGCTGGGTGAGGATGTCGCACATCTCTGGCAGCAGGTCGGCCGAGTCGCCGCCGCCCTGCAGCGCCGCGCCGCCCACCTCGGACGCCGGCGGCGGGCACGGCTCGCTCTGCAGCGCCGTCGGCTGAGAGTGCGCCGCGCTGTAGACCGTCTCCGAGCCCAGGTCGGCCAGCTCCCCCTCGTCGTCCTCATCGTTGGCGGCCGTGCTCCAGTACGGGTCGGCAGGGTCGAACTCGGCGATAATGTCCTGAAACACGGACAGGGGCGTCACAATAATATCTTAAAAGACATTGTACGTATTCAAGTCTCGCCCAAAGACAAACCTAGGAAAAAACCACGGCATTTCGCTGAAGCCACCCTAGTTCAGAACGGGTTGAAACAAACAGAGAACGCCACAGACAGAGAACGCGACAGAGCGCCGCGGCTACTCACGTTTATGATGCCATTGACGTCGTGTTCGTTCTTCATGTTTTTGAAGACGGTGAAGACACGCGGCACACAGGTGATGGGGTAGAGCGTTAGCGGGTCCACCAGATCTTCTCCGTTCATCACACCGGGCACTTTGTACCTGCCGGGAGCGACAGCCGACGCCGTGAGTCAGCGGTATGACGATGGCCTCCGCACACAACACGAACGGACTAGGGATGACTCACGGCACGAGTATCGAAGGTGAGGTAAATGGTACAGAAAACTATTAGGATAGTCATCATTGACCGCAGCCAGTTCGGATGACCGCGATTTATCAAAAATCGATGCTTATTAGACAAAAGTGATTGCTTGCTTAACGTGCTAGTGCTTACCGTATAGTGAACAATGAGCATGTTATAAACATGTCTGCCTCTTCCCTGCCCACTCACTTTATGAGTTCGGCGAAGAGCTCCTGGTGGGACTCGACGTCGACAGAGCGGCTGGGCAGTGTGACGCGCTTCATCAGCAGCATCGTGTGCAGGATGTCGCGCGTCCAGAGGAAGTGCGAGATCTCGGCCGACACCAGGTAGCCGGCGCCGTCCAGGCAGATCAGGTGCACCACACCCACCGGCACCGCTGCGCGCGCACGCACAGGGAGGGGGGGGGAGGGGGGTCACACATGGTTTTCACTTTTCAGGAGCGACACTGGCACAAGAAAGAACCAACAGCTGACGTACGACCGGTGCAAAATGTGCAATATTCAGAAAACTTTGTAAACTCAAGATAAGCTACAATTAAAATCAACGAAACTTGATGGTAAATGTCAAACACTACATGTGACTAAACACGTTCATATAGCTGCAGCACATCAGCTGTGGTGGCGTGCGACACATGGTAATTCTCTGGACTCCATTACCTATCTGTTTGATGAACCGTCTCTGCATGGTAAGCTCCCCCAGCTCGCGGTTCATTTGGTCAATCTCCTCCTCAGTCAGCTCCTGGTGGCTTGGAGCGCTGCAAACCACACAGAAAGACTAGGTTAGGTATCTCCCCAGTCGGCTCCTGGAGGTTCAGTGCGCTGCAACTAACACAGGGAAACTAGGTTAGGCAGATGTTAGGAATTACAACAGGATGGTGAAGGACAATCAACAATAATGCAAGGCTACAGGGTGAAAAGAAATTACGCCAACATACTTTTCATATTCTAGCAATGGAAAGAAATGCGGTGGCATAAAATTTTCATCTTCTAATATATCTAATGTGATACACTGACGAGTGCGTTCCGACATGACTAACATCAGCATGTGAAGCACTGCTGGCAAAAGCATAGCCAACGCCTTCTGGAGCTGTCTGGTGAGGCTATCGATCGCTGTTGGTGGCCACTAGCAGCTCTTTGACGTTCTCCTAAAGAGCCACCTGGATATTTTTTCAAGAATTGAGGTCCGGGCTATTCCCAGATCAGCTTTTGTATGCCCAGAAGAAGAACAGGTTCTCACGGCACCAGTCTTGCGTCTTGTTGGCCGTGAAAGAAAGGACTTCAGCAACCATGAAGAGGAGTTTCTTTGTGTCGGACATAAAAGTGCGCTTAATCATTTTGCCCATTCTGATGCACGGTGGATCAGACTCGTCTGGGAGGATGTTCCACTGGTGGCATATTTTATTTTTGGTGACCTTTTTGAGCGGTACATGCCATTCTGCACCACCCGAGGGCTCATAACCCGCTGATGTGTTCACTTTCCCGGATGTTGGAAGGTTGGGACGGGCGGGACATCGGGCGCATCAGCAGCCCCCAACGCAATTGTTCTGCAGGTTTGGCGGATGAAACAACTTCAAAGATGTCTCACTCAACCACCCAGCCTGGCCTGTCCTCCTCTGTCCAGCTTTGATGGTCTTTGGAAAACTTTAATCGACAATCCTGCTGTTAATTCGTGAATTTTGGTCATCTCGAGGGTTTGTATTTTGTACCTACGGCTTTATTTTCGAATTTCACGGATTTATGTGCGAATCGTGATATCTTAGATCGGTTACTCGGCCACAGTAGGCTATTTTGCCAGTTTTCGGGTCGACTGGCGTCGTTTTGGCGCCAACGTGGTGACTGCACCCATTCGGCGACTGAATTCGCCGAGGTTTCGCTGCCGCGGACGGCGCCTAGCTTTTTACAGTACTCTTAAGTGTTATTATCTTAAGTGTTATTATGCTTCAATCAACCGTATTATAGTTAGATACTGGTGCTAAGACCGCTACAAATTCCTTCCGCACCAATCCAGCCAAAATCATCACAAACGCTTTCCCTGGCAGCTCCAAAATGTGCTCTTTGCCCATTTTGATCTTGGGCAGGGTATGGCATCTGCAGTTGCACCATTCTAAGCCGAGAGGTCTCAAAGACCTTCCAGGTCATTTTCCAAAGTTAGGTCACTTTTGGCAGATGAGGCGACAACGAACACGACCAATCGGCAATCAAGCTCCACGACAGCCCGCGCTGATACAAAATGTTACACTGACTGGCGAAGTTGTAAGAAAATACATAATTACGTCATCACTTTCCACCCTGTATTTCTATCAAAGATCATATGCTAATGGGTAAAAATGTGCTAGTCACAAGCCCCAGTCAGGCATTATGGAAAAAATCACATCATATTGTCGATATGTACTTGGCGATCAAGGTCATATTTCACAGTTTTGGCGGACAAGTCACATCCTGAAGTTACAACATGAGTTCTCACTGTTCTGTAAAACTCTGGTGAGACTGTAATTCAGTGACAAAGGTGAGCAGTCAGTATTTCATTCAACTGATTTGACATGTCAATGATAACACAACTGAAGACAAAGCAGGTATTCTATTCAAACATTACCTACTGGTAGTTCTATCAATTAATTTCAATTATGTTAATGTTCATTGTTAATGAGCCATTGACTTCATTGTTTTACAAGGACAGATGCTTTTCAGACAGGTAATTCATCAATTTCATAGAATCAGGAAGGCAATCACTGGATGTGAACACTGCTATAAAACTGTGAAGCCATAACCGTTTTCCCCTGATCTTGGATTATGGGAGCCACTTCTGTTACAATTGCTTTTTGAATTGAGAAACTTATCATAATCATAATATTTATGGTCTTGTGACTAGGACACTGCTGGTATGCTCTGTTCCATTTCAAGATTGGGTCTGAAGTTCCCTGTTGAAAGCAGTGCGTTATTTCTGTATATACAGCGCTCACATTAAAATACACCAATGCTGGGTGGAGGAGCAATCTGCCGAAGAAACTACGACCGCAAGCTTGATATGGAACAGCCTATAGTGTGGAATCATGATTTTGTTGATCTTTAAGTCCACTTGCATCTCTTTTGCTAGCTTATGCTGCTACTGCTACACCACAAGCAGATACGTAGGAATATCTGCAAGTACCCAAGCAGTAAAACAAAACTAGTTACCAGACAACTTTTTGTCATCATCAATCTCTACTGTCATCCTGAATCACCAAAATTCCACTACGGCCCATGACCACCTCCCAAAATGATTACCTGACCTTCATTTAAAGTGCTTTTGGTAATCAAGTGCACTTGGTTACCAAAAGTTGTAATTTTGGTAATTTGACATAATTTGATAATAATATAGACAATATGATATGATATAATATGATAATAATAAATAACAAGACATAAGTTGCATGTGACGTAGCCATGGCTACGTCACATGCAAAATGTCTTCTTAGCAGGTATATATTTCAGTGATCTGAATTAGAGTGACTACCTTTAAGTTTTAGCTCTGATATCTGATATCTGATCTGATATTTTCAGAGTACTTTGCTGTCCCTACTTGTACTCCATACTTACATCGGGCGAGATGATTTGATCTTTGTGATCTTTGTTTGTTTCTTATCCTGATTGGGCTTCAGCTGTGTACAGGCAGCCTGCATGATTGAAGTTCAATCACAATTGGTAAAGCTAATCGTCTTCATTTATAAAACAGCACGGAATTGCAGTCACGTCACTTTGTCACATGCCCTAAATTGAATTCAATTTTGAGCCCTGCCCGCCTTGCCCTGCCCACTATTTCACTAAACCGCGCACCATGCTCGATGTCACAAAGGCGAAAACATTAGTTTCGGTAGGGAAATATCGACCGTAACGGCACTAGATTGTGACGTTCGATGCGCAGCTGCTTCATTTACGTAAGGGCGGGCATATCAAGATTACCTTTACCACTAGGGCATATGAGGTAAAGTAAAGCTTCATTACTGCCTTCATCACTAATTTGTAGTTGAGAATTGTTGAGACTAAGACGTTCTTTTTTCGCTTGTAACGTTCATAGCTTGGGCACATAACATAGCGCCAATAACATAAAATGGTGATCAAATGTGAGCTTTCTAAGCAGGCGTCCGACGGTGATATCTCCTCACGTCCACCGCTGCCACCCCCTCGGACAGGTCGGAGGCCTCTTTCGACAGCGCGCCAGCCCTCTCGTCACTCAGGCCGCAGTGGACTCATTGGCGGCGGATGCCGAGTCCCGCAGGAGAAGCCGAGCAGTGCTCTCCAGAACCCGTGGGGGAGGAGGACTGTGCAGCAGCACCGCACTCTACTTCCGAGATCTGACAAAGTGGTGGACGGTGTGGGATCTCACCGGACCGCGGAAAATGACCCGGGTCAGACTCAGCCCAAAGGGAATCACTTGTTTGTTCAGGGCGGACGCCGGTGGCCGACGCGCCACAGGCCGCCGTCCCCCAGCTGCTCAGGTGGTAAATGTGATAGGGCTCGACGGACGCCGTCCCATCAAAGCGCGATCTCATATCGACGGGATGCCCATCGGATGGGATATTGCCAGTGTGGACCACCTCATCACCAGCCGGTCCAACGCTCCTGAGCTGCCGCACTGTTGATTGTCGACGGGATCCCGAGTGCCTTCCGTGCAGGACATCGGACCGTGTCCCGGGTAGGCAGGTTATCTATCATATAGTTATCTATAAGACGGGATATCTACAAACCCACTGCCTTATCTCACGTGTTGGCTTGAGTGGGGTGGGGGATTTGTGGGATCAAGCACCATATGAGTGGGATACTAACTGGACAGTACCACTGTCTGATCTCACCTGTCCACCTGGGTGGGGCGGAATCAGTGTCCCGTATGGATAGGGTGGCAGACAGTGCAGCCGCTCCGCCGTGGGAGTGGCTATATCGGTGTCCCGTGTGGCCGGCATATGAACAGCGCCAGTCTGATCTCACCTGTCGGCCTGAGTGGGAGCGGCGGGCGAAATAAGCAGCGCCACCGTCTGACCAGTGAGCTTACCTGTCGGCCTGGGTGGGCGCGGCGATGCACACGCCGGCGTTCCGGCCGCTGCCGTCCACGGACGGGGCCAGCGGCGGCGGCGCGGCCGGCGGTACCTGCGGGGAGGTCGGGACGCCCGCCGCCGCCGGCGCCTCCGGGGCGCGGCCGGCCGCCGACACGGGCGTGGTCGGGGCCACAGCAGAGACGGCGGCCGGCGCGACGGTGGTCAGTGCCGCGGGCGACACGGCGGAGACGGTCTGCGGACGGGGGGGGGGGGGGGGCGGTCACAGACCTTCAGTCCAGGGGCGGGGCGGACCGGTCACAGACCATCAGTCCCAGGGGCAGGTCAGTCAGCAGTCAGCAGTCAGTAGTCATATCAGTCACTGACCAGTCGGAGTTGGAACCGTGAATCACACTAGCAACACCAGTCACAGAAGCTATTATCAGTGAGGCCCACCTTCCTTCTCCCTTCTTCGTCGCGACGAAGGAAATCCCAGAGGGAACAGGACAACTTACCTACAAAGGACAGCAGCCAGACACCTAACGTTGCGAGTTACGACCATTAGCGACACAAGGTCCAATGTCTTATGCTACCGACCGGGCCGGTCACAGCAGCACGCTATTATCGCAATCGGAACCGTCGGTGGAAGGATTATGAATTATGATACTGATGACGCGTCACTGATAGATTTCAATTGTCGTACTCTGATAACTTGTAAATTATCGCAACCAGTTGCAGCGTTAATCGCACGAATCATCACGCTCACACCAAGTCGGTAGCTCACCCGCCACGTGCTATCACCGGCCACACACTGTCGCGCTCTCTGTTCACTGGCGTGTCGCCGCCGGGACACACATGGTGCCCACGTGGAGTTGTCAGGCCCGTTTCCGGGGCGGGTTCACGTCACGGCCCTGAGTTATGGCCTGCACCAGTGAGCACCGATGGCGCAGGTGGGTAGGCCGACCTTGCCGGGCCTTTACTGAGCGAGGATGATGGTTTGTGATTTTAGCGAGCCCGCAATTCAGAGGTCATCGGCTCCCATTACATACCGGGTGGACCCGTCCCCATCCAGCCCAGTTTCGCAGCACAGCTGTGTCCCGCCCCGCGCCGCTGCGGTCAGCGGGTGTCGGCGCGGTCGGCGGTGTCACCGGTGTCAGAGTGTCAGCGTGTCACGTACCGGCGATGTCGGGACAGCCGTCACGCCGCCGCCGGCTCCGGACGCCTGCGACATGAGCAGCGCGGCGTACGCCGCCGGGTTCATCATCGGATTCATCAGGCTGCGGAGACACAGGACGGGCACGGGTCAGGACAGAACGCCGATGGTCGGCCACTGCCAGTGGCTGGCAGTGTGACACGGGCCGGGGCACGAGCCAGGGCACAGCGCCGATGGCCGGCCACGTCCGGCCAGCCGGCAGAACCGACAAGGCGCACACCACGGCGGGACCATGTCACTCAGAACCCTTTAAAGATAACCACTCAACGGCATGCTAACATGTTCTGTTTGGATAACGCCATGGATGCATCGCAAATTATTTTGCATGTTGTGCCAGATCAATGAGCTCAGGTTTGGTGTAAAGTTGATAGCAACACAAACACCCTGCAGTGTCTCACACAACTATTTCAATATTTCATACGACTTGCTGCACGATTACGGGCCATCCCCTGGCCCTGCCCTAACCGCACCCAACACTACTCGGCCACTCCCACCCCACCCCGCCCACCGTCCCCTATGCCCCGCTGGTGTCTCTCACTTGAGCTGCATTATCTGCAGGTTGCTGAGCAGCGCCGACTGCGTCAGCATCTGCGCGAAGGCGGTCGTGCTGACTGGCGGCAGCGGCGACACGGCAGCGAAGCCGGGCGGCTGTCCGGGCGACGACAGCGGCACTGCGAACACGCGGCGAGAGGAGAGTCAACACAGAGACGCCCGCAGAGCTCGCCAAGAACTACACAGACACAGCTGCGGGGACATTACAGACCACAGGATACAGCACAGCACCACATCTCACTCCAAGGCCCCGCCAGGCCCGCCTATCGCCGATATCAAGTAAATCACAGCCTGTGTCCATCTGAGCTGGCAGCCGGTGGCCGAATCCGTCTGGAACGGTCACACACCGCCGTCTCTGTCTCGGACTCTCGGCCAGGTGCCCTGTGCCGACGATGCCGGTCAGACGGCACACCCACTCACCTGGGGCCTGTGGCGGTCCGGCCGTGCCCGGGGGGCTGCCCAGGGTCCCCTACTGAGGTCAGCCGGCACACCCACTCACCTGGGGCCGGCGGTGGGCCGGCGTTACCAGGCGGGCTGCCCAGCGTCTCCAGCAGCAGCCGGTCGATGTCGCTGGGCGTGCTGCGGCCGCCAGCCGGCTCCGACTCCGGCTCGGGACTCAGCGAGAGGCGCGCCACGGCCGCTGACGCCGCCTCCGATACGGAGACAGCCGCGGCCGGCGGCGGCGCAGCGGTGGGACTGGGCGCCACCGACACCGGCCGAGAGAGCTCCTCCACCGCCTGACGGAGGGGGGGGGGGGGACGAGTCATACTGCTGAGCCTCACAAACAAACGGTATGTTACGCTTACAGACTACATGGCAGGTAACGCTTGCAGCGCGAAACGAAACACTCCGCTGGAGTCAGCCTAAACTCGCATACCCGTCCGAACAAATCATGACGTGACCTCATACCGATAATTCAGCGCGAGAATGCATAAATTGGGGAAGCAGTGGAACCGTACTTCATTCCTCAGTCGGTAAAACGCAATGTCAGAAAGTTCGTTAGTGCTAAATGCCAATCGCTTCTTCCCATCAACGCTTTGCAACCCTGACATATTCAACAAGACAACCCGATCTGAACCGCCTCTGCTTTCAACTGACCCCCGATAAGCGCAGAACAATGGAAATTCAGCGGGTTACCAGTATCTCGCCGCGTCATATTGCTCAGTTGGCCGACGGAGGGCGCAAGCTGGCTGCCGCCGCTAAGGCTCCCCCACAGCGCGTCACAACAGTTCACAATAAACGTCACGGTATTCCCAATGTCGAATATCAATACTTCAAACACGTTAATACAATAGATAAACAAAAAATAGGCAGCAAAGTAAGTACTTGCAACATTATCACCCAGGCCGCGCCGCTGTGAGGGCGTCAATCACGCCTGAGGTGCTTAATCTCGCCGCGAGCAGCGCCACCGCAGTCACAGAGACAGCTCACCTTTTCGTCGACGTCGACGCTCTCGTTGTGGAAGACGGCGTAGTCGAGTTCGACGAGCCGGTCGTTGACGTGCAGGTCCGTGTCTCCGGTGGTATCACAAAGACACAGACTGACGCAGCTCTGCGGGCGTAGAATGGGGAGAAATGAGTCAGGGGACGACGCAGACACAGACTGACACAGCTCTGCGGGCGTAGAGTGGCTAGAAATGAGTCAGGGGGACGACACAGACGCAGCTCTGTGGGAGAAAGGACGGAGAACAGATCATTCAATTAGCTTGCGCTACGCTCCAGCTTCATTCAAATGATGCTAAAAAATCAAACGCGTTACAAATTCTAGTCAACACAGTACCTACACATTTTGCCATTACAAGAAGCATTATGCCGCAAATAATTATCTTTTGACCACACAATCGTTGTACAAGCCGTTGAACCAGAACTAAGGCTGGCCTGAACTACGGCCGGCCTAGGGCCAAACTATCAAGCACACGGGCCAAGTCCGAAATCGTCACCGACCGACCCACAGACTATGAGAATGGCAACAGCCGAGGCCACCGAAGATGGCACATTCACTCACCGGCGACCTCTCCAGAATCATGGCGTATAGGATGCGATTGTTGTCGACTAGAGACAGGAACGTCTTGGAGGCCTCGCGCGACCAGCCCTCGGCGTCCGGCGGCTCGATGTTGGCCAGCCGACCCTGGTGACATAAACACAACGAGAGCATTGTTATTCACAGTAAACCCTTCCAGTTGCTCCAATTATCGTACTCATAAAGTGCCGGACATGCACACTGCGATTGTATGAGTAATTAGACAATCAACGGGAATACTTCATCAGCGAGCACCAAATTTCAAAACCAGTAGCTCCTTAGCTACTTCAGTGATTAGCTGCACATTGTCTGATATTGAACGAGCCCTGTGCCCAGCCGCCGCTGCCGTTCCGCCCCTCTATCTAACACAGCGACCGTCACCAGCCGCGGCGACTCACCAGCAGTGCCTGGGCCGGCAGACTGAAGTACTGCTCCGGCAGGAAGCGCAGCATCTCGCGAGACACGGTACCCACAGAGCCGTAGTCCACGTAGAACACCTGGTGAACGGGGGTGGGCGGCGTTAGCGGGGGACGCACCAACGATCGGTCATGAGGTAGGTGAACGCCTTAACAAGTTACAAGCAACATCGATGCAGAGTTCTGTCAGCTTCAAACAGAGCCCTGAGGTGAATGTAGTGGACGCCGGACGGTCCCGGTAAATTTCATCACCGGAGAGCCGTACAGCCACCACAAACGCAGCAGGACGGAGGAGGGCCGGGAGGGCCGGGACGCACCTTGACGGGCTCCGGCACGGGCCGTACGCCAGTGATGACGGCCCGGTGGTAGCCCTGCTCGCCGTACGGACACGCGCACACCTGGCCCACGCGCACGGTCGCCTCCTGCATGCGGTACTTGAAGCCCAGCGTGGTGCAGTAGGTCATCCTGGGGACGGCCAAGCGGCCGAAAAATGTCAGCATCGTCCGTAAGCACGCTTCACTCAGAACTGAGGTGAGGTAGAACCACGACAGCATGCAGCATCGCTATACAAAGACCCCAAACTCTTAGATAAGGCGGAGTTGGTCCCGTGAGGACTGAATTCCGCCCCAGCACCGGGCCGGCGGGATCCATATAATGATAGCTGCTACATTACATCGTGACAGCGGCTCAGATAGCAGCAAATACTCACTCCATTTCGTCCATGAGTTTTTCCAGAGCGTCCGCGTACTGATCGCCAACCAGGTGGAACCAGAACTTGTGCGGATGGTACACCTGAAAACGGAACATCACGTTAATCTCGTCATAAGCCAGCCATGCATGTGACTTGGCCCATGAGTATCACAGAGTCTAGTTAGCCACAGACGCAGCACCAGAGCACAGATATTTGCCGCGATCGAGACAAAGGACGCCCTGCGGGGTCGACACCCTAGAGCCCCGACGCCCCGAGGCTGCAGCACTCCGTACCTCTGCCACGAAGATCTCCAGGTTGTACTCGCCGGAAGGCACGTCGGGCAGCTTGACGCGCTCGAAACTGCGACCGGGGCCGACGGCGTCCGCCGGGTACAGGTCGCGCGACACCGCCATCTCCTGCCGCAAAGGTCAGGTCAGGTCAAGTCGGGTCATAGGCCGCGGGACACGGTCGCGAATTGCTACCGTACAGGTGGGTCACGTCAGGTCACATGGCGCGGGAGCCCCGCCTTCTACGATCAACAGAGCGGCACATGATGTAAAAGCTGTGAAGCGGGAAACCGAATATTTGTCAGAACATGAGCAGAACATGCTCATCAAACAATATCCAAACACCGGCAAAACGTTGCGAGCAAGCGCTCAGATAAATTTAACCCAAGGACTGACACAGCACTGCATTGTGTCAACTTAAGCAGCAAATATCATGCATTACAATTTACAACTACACAGAAAGCACACACCATTCCTTCGACACTTGGCACTGATGAGGGCGCTGCCGGCCGCGCGGCACCCACCGACTGCGGAGGCATGATGGGATACAGCTTCAGGCCGTCGGCCGTGTTCTTCAGGTTCAGCACGTCCTCCGTCAGCTGCAGCACGAACGTCTCCAGCGAGTTGAAGCCGAGGGCGCCGTACGGCAGCCGCTCGTTGCAGTTCATCTGACGGAACGGAACGATAAGAAAGCTGTAGCGTGACGCACCGTAGCAAGCAACAACACGACACAAACGGACGGGGCAAAAAGCAGACAGAATATCGCCCGTCCCCAAATGGGGATATACCCCATCCAGTTGCAGGCGCCAGCGGCTGAGCTATATCCATCCGACGGCGGGCAAAAGGACAATGTAAGCTCACGAGAAGCACGTTTACAACTCTGATATGATGCCCAGCATTCATGACTGCACTTAGCTGAGCGTGACGCTCACCTGATAGTGATCCTCGAGACTGGACATGCGCAGTCCGTCGGGGAAGGAGAGCAGGATGTCGCGGATCCTCTCCTTGGCTTCCTGGAGCCGACTGCCATCCTCCACCTCGGCTATCAAACCTGCAGAAACGAACACACAAGTCACTACACCGGGCCGACGGTAACAGACACCGCCATTTGCACAACTTATCTACACCAGACACGGTCCGGGTCTCCGGCATTTATCATCCGGCCACCGTAACCATGGTCCGTGTTATCAAGCATTGCATCCGCGGGAGTCGTTTCTATGGTTTATCAGCTGACATCTGTATCAGTAACCCACTCCACAGATCACAACACATCATTTGGCTTCTATCTATGTATGTAGGACACTCCACAGTGCACGTTCAGCCAGCCCCCTGTATCTGAGCCCACCGTCGTCAGCCTGCGTCTGGTCGTTGACAAAGTCCGGCAGCGGCTGCCGCAGCGTGAACAGCAGCCAGTCGCCGAACGCGTTCGACTTGATGATGCGCAGCGGGAGGAGGGACACCAGGTCCAGCACGCTGTGGAAGCCGAGCTCCGACAGCGCCAGGTCGCTGCCCGTCCTCAGCTAGGGGGGGGGGGGGGCACCCGGTCAGAAAGGTCAGACAGCTCCAGCTCACATCAAGAGTGGCGAAACCGCATCTACATTGCAGTTTGACACTTTTGGGGTATCTACTGTCGTGACTACGACCCGAGGTCACATCACGCTAGCATTCCAGTTTTGAAGGATCATACTTTATAACATGCGGCTTGACGACAGGGCCTCATTTCACCCCACAGCGTTTCCAGCCAGCCGGGCGGCATTCTCACCTGGTACTCTGAGGGCAGTTTGGAGCAGAGCAGACCGTTCGGGTGCTTCTCCAGGATAGTTTGTACAGTCTCTGAGATCGAGGCCAGCAGACTCTTTCTCTTCCCTGAAAAAAGAAACATTTCAAGTCACATTTTCGACTACCACAACGGGCTGGATAAGTCACCTAGCATCTCATCCATACTGAATACCCATATAACAATTGATGTTTACAGGGCAATGTTGTACTGAAGATCTTGAGCACAAAATTAACCGTGGTTAACGTGAGAATCCGGAGCTAGAGTAAGCCACCGCGCAATTTTCAGCATTCCAGCAACAAACTGAATGAAAAACGTCTGGTATTGAGAGCAAAGACTGAGACTAAAACAGCTGCAGTAATTACAGCAATCGAAGCTAGTTAGTCGCCGCACTATACATTTATAGAATAGATGTGCGAAGTGCATTATCATGCAGTGAGAAAGAAGAGTAGATACCGACAACATTAAAACGTGGAGGACATTGTGCACACATTCGGTATAACGGAAGCCACGAAATCTGAACGAGCCAGGTCCGAAGCCCCGAGTTAGGCTCTGAGACAAACAAGCGCTATAGACGGTACACAATACTGGCAGTGCGTTTGAAGCAACAGCCATCGCCTTGACAGGGGTAAAAAGGAGCCTGTTGATGACGATCTGCTGCTAGGAATTATCACTATTTTTAAGGGGATCAAGATCGTGTTAAGGGTCGGGAACAAAGGTTTCAATGTGGAACAAAGCCGCAGCCTTGACTTTGGTTGATAATTATCGATCGGCCGAAAACTGTCTTGAACTTCTCAGTACATTTCACATTCCAAGTTGGAGGATATTTCATAAATTCTTCATTTATCATGTTTCCCGAAAGAGTACAGGATAGATTAAGTGTATGCTAGTGGTCATGCAAGAAGGGGGGGGGGGCTGTAATTCAATTTCAATTAGTTCACCAGTTTCTGGGATAGAGTATCAAACAAAAAACAGACATGCGTCGACTTCAATAGCCTATGTATTACAAATGAAAAACAGCGACATATAGAATGCTAGACACGAGCCCAAGCACCACTAAGTGTCCTATACGCGAGATCACTCGGTGATATTAGTCTAGCTAGCAGGTACTCACAAGACATCACACGAATTAGATTATCTACAACACAGTCCATCTACAAAAGGGTGAGCGAAGAAGCAGTGGAGTGTCCCATACATACAACCCTGCATTCCACTCCCAGCACCGACGGCCGACACAATGTGCTGTGCGTTCGAGCCGTGTCTGAGGCGGCGTACCTTCCAGTTCCAGATCGGCGTCCGTGGGTCCGTCTGCCTCGGGGCTGACGACGCACCCGGCGGGGAGCGGGCCGGCCGCAGGATCCGTGTCGCCCCTCTCCGTCTCAGTCCGGCTGCAGTGGTCGGCAGCAGGGTCCGTGTCGCCCCTCTCCGTCCCAGTGCGCCGGCAGTGGTCGGTTGTAAGGTCCGTGTCGCCCCTCTCCGTCTTAGTCCGGCTGCAGAGCTCGGTTGTAAGGTTCGTATCGCCCCGCTCCGTCCCAGCCCGGCCGTAGGGTGCACCGCCCGGTGCCGGCGCCGTGGCCGTGTGAAAGGTGCGATGACCGCTGTCATGGTGACAGTCGCGGTCCGTCTCCACCTCCTCCGTTCGGCGACTGACGTCAATTTCAGCCCCCTCACCACTCAACTGACCCCGCTCCATGCGACTGTGAGTGTCTCCCTGTCCTGTTAGTTTAATTGTTTACATTCCTGATGTGCTGTATATGTATACGTAAATGTGCACGGTCTTGAGCATGCGCATGTGTCTCTGGTTTCCGCATGTGTTTGGCATGTGCATGTGCATCCCGCGCTATGCATCCCGTGCTATGCCTTACTCATACTGTCTTCATTTACCTTTCAGTTTGTGGTGGGGCTTAAATAAATGCACGCTCAAGAGATATTGATCTTTGTGAATTGAACATTGGTAGCAGAGCGTGGTTACAAGATGGCATCTAGAGATTTCAAAGCCCCACCACCTATGCGTCAAGATTTGCCATATTCAGAGTGGAAGCATGAGATCAAAGTGTGGAAAGCTTTCACTAGCTTGGAGAAGTCCAAGTTGGGACCAGCACTGTTCCTGTCCTTAAGTGGATCTGCCAGAGATGCAGCCCGTGAGGTGTCAATAGAGATTCTGAACAGTGATACTGGACTTGATGCTCTCATAGAGAAGTTGGACGAGTTGTTCTTGAAAGATGAGAACAATGCAGCCTTTGAGGCATATGATGCGTTCGAGAGATATGAGCGACCATCTGGCATGTCTGTGTTTGAGTACATCAACACATTTGAAAGACTGTATCAGAAGGCAAAGCACTACAAGCTGGAGTTGCCTGATGGTGTTCTAGCGTACAGACTCATTCGCAGTGCTAACCTTTCAGATGCACATCAACAGCTAGCAAGGGCAACTCTGCCGTCGCTCACATATGCAAACATGCAAACCCAGCTGAAGAAGATCTTCACAGACAGTAGTTCTCAGGGTGTGCCGTCAGCGAGAGTGGCAGTAAAAGTCGAGCCCGTGGATACAGTCGCAGAACCAGGGCTCGGCCAGGCGGCCGACACTCTCTTCGTTCAGCGAGGCAGAGCACAGAGTGTCGGACGAGGTTTCAACCGAAGAGGACGAAGTGGTGGACCGCGCTTCGCCTCACGACCGCCTCTGCGTGGCAGTGGGACTACCTGGACTTCACGTGGCGGCTCGAGAGATCCTGGATCTGCTGGACAATCCGCCAACCAGCGCACAAGGGCTAGATCTAGGCAGAATCCACGGGATTTAAGGGGTAATGTGACCACCTGTGCAGTGTGCAACTCTTGGTTTCACTGGGCCAGAGATTGCCCCGATCGCGGTGAGGTGTTCGAGGCGTCTGCTTGTGACGATGATAGCCATGACCCCACACAGGACGAGGAGGTATTCGTGACGTTGTTTGCGAGGGATACATGTGAAAGTGGACCAACTGAACGTTCAAAGACGGAGGGACTGCTGGGCGAAACACTAGGCTATGGTATCATCGATAGTGGATGTAGTAAGACCGTGTGTGGTGAGGTGTGGTACAAATGTCACTTGGATGCCATGTCTTCAGATGACGCGGAGCGAGTGGTAGAGGAGCCCAGCAGCACAACGTTTAGATTTGGGGATGGTGAGAAGGTTACTTCTCTAAAGAAAGTAACGTTTCCAGCACTGGTAGCCGGTAAGACGGTGCGCGTGGCTGCTGATGTGGTTCCCTATGAGATACCTTTACTCCTCAGCAAGGAGTCGCTGAAGAAGTGTGATGCGCTGCTAGATTTTTCCCGAGACACGGCGGTACTGTTTGACACTGAGGTCAAGCTATCTGTGACCTCAAATGGCCACTACATAGTACCTGTGGCGAAGTTTCATGTCGGTAGTGTGAGTGCCAGGCAGGACATAGAGCAGGTACTTTTTTGTTCAAAGTTTGAGGGTGCCAACGAGAAGGAGCGCATGCAAATAGCTAGGAAGTTGCATCGTCAGTTCGGTCATCCTAGGAGTGTGAAACTGCAGTCCCTGTGTCTTGATGCTGGCGTCCAGGACAAGGATTTCTTTCGCATGCTTGTCTCAGTGGAGGAAACCTGTGATGTATGTAAGAGGTATAGGAGATGTCTGCCCCGACCAGTGGTTGGTTTTGGGATGGCTCGCGACTTCAATGATGTCGTTGCGCTGGATCTAAAGCAGTGGGGACCTGGAGTATGGTTTTGCCACATGATAGATCTGGCCACGAGGTACAGTGCGTGCGTGGTAGTGAAAAACAAAGACAAGCAAACGATCCTGCGTGCAATCATGACTGAGTGGATAGCTAGGTTCGGGGCACCCGGTCAGTTCTTGTCTGATAATGGAGGTGAGTTCAACAATGAAGAGTTCCGAGAGATGGCCGAGGCGTTCAACATACGCGTGCGGACTACTGCTGCAGAATCCCCTTGGTCGAATGGGATCAATGAGAAGTACAACGGTATCATCGCCAGCACAGTGAAGAAGGTGATGGATGACACTCCATGCTCTCTCGAGGTTGCTCTGGCTTGGGCTGTGTCAGCCAAGAACTCTCTTGAGACTCACCTGGGATTCAGTCCTAATCAGCTTGTGTTTGGGCGAAATCCGAACAACCCGGCGTGTCTCCATGACAAACCTCCGGCTCTGGGACCTCCTTCCGGAAGTGATTTGGTGAGGACACACCTGAACGCCATGCATTCTGCCAGGCAGACGTTCATTCAGAACGAGTCGAGCGAGAAGTTGCAGAGAGCACTTCTTCACCAGGTCCGTCCCAGTGGTGAGAGGTTTTGCTCGGGTGATGTCGTCCTGTACCGACGTCACCAAGATGACAAGTGGCGAGGTCCAGGTGTCGTCATTGGACAGGAAAACAAGCAGATCCTGGTGAAACATGGCGGCGTGTACTACAGGTGTCACACAAGCGCTGTCGTGCGCGACACAAGTGAGCCGCGGGAACTGACAAAGCGAGGCCGGATGTCAACTTCGGATCCGGCTCCAGGGACCCAGAAGTTGGAGAAGATCAGTAGTGCTCCGATCCCGGAGTCTGCTGAAGACTCCGATGATGATGAGCAGAACTCCAGGTCTACTTCGTGTACGGTGTCTGGGGACGCAAGACAACGCCAGTTGGTGACGGTATCACCCACTGGCGGTCTGCAAGATGTCGAAGGCGGCTCTGGTTCGGAACCCGGATCGCTAGCTCAGGCTACCAGAGAGTCCAATGCCATGGACAGTGATGGTGGCTCTGGTCCGGAACCCAGTTCGCCAGCTCATGCCACCGGAGATTCCAGTGTCGTGGTCGGTGGTGGCGTCGTCGTTCGTGACAAACCCTCGATACCTCGCGCTAAGTCGCGCATTACCTATGTTCTTCGTGATTCCTCTGATTGGAAGAGTGCCACAGTCCTGAGTCGTGCTGGGAAAGCCAAAGGGAAGTACAAATCCTTTTTGAATGTTCTTGACGATGGTGATGAAGTTGGCAAATGTGTAGACTGGCGGGATGTTGATGACTGGAAGCCTTTGAATCAAGACGTACTGGTGTGCACCTCGGATGACATCATGGCGGCTAAATTGTGT